GTATGTGGCGGCCCGCCTCCTAGCTAAAGTTGCCCCCACAAAATATAATGTGTACGACCCTTGTCATGTATTTTACAATTGTTGCCAACTCCGTTTGTCATTGCGGCAAATGAGCTTGGCAGCCACCAGAAAATAAAAAGTAACACGAGCCACAACAAGAAACTCGCGTAAATTACCCGGACCAGCAGCTGCCTCTCCAAATTCTGAACGTTCTGAAACGTTGACCATTGTCTTAATCCGGCCAAATTGTGGCATTCTAGACGCACGAATGTGTCAACGACTCGGCCAACAGTTCAGCGTTCGAACATAACGCGATATAATTCGGTTATGACGGGCCAACGAACGTGTTAGCCATATATGACCCAAAAGTCGAACACAATTTCGGAGTCAATGCCAGATAACTTTTTCTGTGACACAGATGGACAGCGCAAATATACGATAATTGTCCACAGACATTGCCAGCGACAGAATTAAACGTCAACTCAATTTGAGTAGACAAGTTAAGGGCCATGTCGGGGTCACGCTAATCGGCGAAAAGTTACCGCCTTGCCATTTATGCTCGGAAAAGCCGCACACGGCAGTTAACCCCTGAATTTCCTCAGTGAAAATTCAACAGGTGGCTATAGTAATAAAATCAAACAAAACGAGAAAGCTGACTGGCTCGACTATAAAAGTGCCAGGGGGATATTTCAAGTCAGCGCACAAATGCAATCTAGCGCCTATACAGATTTGATAAAAAGTCAGAATTGAGCAATTTTTAGCCGCTGAAGGATATTTATATTGATATCAACGGGCAGAAAGACGAACAGACGGACGGACATTGTTCCTGATGAATAACATTTACCTAATGGGATATAAAACGCTTGTTCCAGCTGTTGCATACCTTTCAACGAATCCAGTATACTCTTTTACTCCACGAACTACTAATTATACCTAATTATACTCCAGATATTCCAGAAAATTTAGAAACTTCTCATACGCACTGCCACTAGCTGAGTAACGGGTATCTGATAGTCGGGGAACGCGACAAAAGCGTTCACCCTTGTTTTCAGCTATGAATGGCATCTGTTAGCAACACATACAGTTCTTTAATTATCACAGCATTTAATGGGCCAAGTAATAAATTAATATTACTGTATCAGCATTTTGATTTCAATTAAATTAATTTGTATAAATTGGAATACAATTAACTTCAAACAGCTAAGTGTTAATTTAATTGAATTTAGGACACCTAAGAAATCTCGTTACCGATTAAAAGAATGCAATTTATTTACATTTTCAATTGCTTTTATAATGCTTGCAATAAGTTTTAAATAAATGCCATAAATAATAACAAATAAAGTGGTGTTTCTTGTGCTTAAATTATTTATAAGTGGTTCTGGTCTATTCACAACATAATTCATTTTCGATTATCAAAATTATAAATATCAAAAACTTGTAGTACGTTTTTGGCTTCGTGTATGAATACAAAGAAATATTTTATTTAGGCCTGCAAGCTACCTTCCTTGTAACTTTGACAAATTGTGCTTTCTCTGTGTCGATTTATTGCATATTTTTTGGCTACTCGTTGAAAGATTGTTCCATTCCAGCTACCTTACATGCTTTTGTGCAGGGTTTTGCAAAGTTAATAAACATTCAGCAAGCCAAGGACATGAAAGCACAATTGTCAGTAAAGAAAAATGCAAGAAATCTGTTCGACAGCGGCGAAAAATTTTTGGTACTGCAATTTTACGCACGGTTTGCCGTAAGCTGGTAATTGATATTCTGAAAGATGTTGCAAATTGAATTACTATGCCCAGCTCGTAAATTCCTTCTGCTGAAAATTTATTGTACTGCATTTTGTCCTTTGCTATCCTGCAGGACTTGTACGTGGCGAAGCTACCAAAACAGGTGGTGCTATAAATCGCAAACTCCATTAAGAGATAAAATTAAACGGAATTAGACCACACAAAAATGATTGTACAAGCTCTAAAATGAGGAGCCCTTCCATGAAACAAAAATTTGCTGTTCTATCTTGTACTCAGTTTGCATTCCTGTTCCCCTGCGACTTTGCAGACTCCTTTATCCAGCTTGTAGGCACCTGGCAAAGAGGAGCACATCCTGCTAATGACATAATGAGAGGACAACCCTTTGGCACATCAGTCGGAATCCAAAAGAGCAAGCGCCTTCAATGGAGTGCATTCGATCGAGAAATCGAGGACCAATTGAGCTGTCGCAGCCAAAGGCAACCCATCAAGGTGTTAGTAGACTAATGGCACCTGTCGAGCCAGAAAATTTCCGAGCAGCAGAAAACAGGAGGATGAGCACAGACGCACCTCTTTTGCCGCTGACAACCCGTTGACGTGGACTTCGTTGCAACAGATGTGTTGCTACGTGTGTGGCAGCTAGTAATGCCATTAATCAAGTCGTTCGGCGAAAACTATGTCAGCGGATTTGTCCTGGGGACTTGCCGAAAAATTGTAAAGCAGACTAGACTTGGCTTCTTATCAAATCAGGACTTGATTTGATTAGACCCCGAACGGAATGATAAATTATTGGCTGGCTGAATGGGCCAGCTGCTGATGTCCTCTGACGGCTTAATGCGTGTCGTCTGCCAAGCGATTTGGAAAAATTGATTGTGTCCACACTCACAATCAATTGCCAAAGGAAACTCGGCAGCCGAATGGCCAAGCAATAAACAATTCCACAGCTAAAAGTGTCTGGGTTGAGTGTGGATGCGATGCCGTTCACAAAACTACAGACAACAGAACATGGCGAAATAATTTAACCTTCTTTTTTATTTGGGCAAGAACAAATACCAAGCCACAAAAGTGGATTTTACTTGCAGCAGCGCCTGATAATGCAGATGGGAAAACGAAGCCACAAAACCACTTTATTCCAGTCCAGTGCGCCCGGTTGCCAGGGCGATCTAAAAATGCCTTTGCATTCAATGTTTTTCCGCATCGGCCAGCTAATATTCTATATAATGTATAATGTATATGGTCGCCCGGGGAAAACATCCAGCAAACAACATAAATAAGGCGACCAATGAAATTGTAAAGTGTCCTGTCATCGCCGCTCCAGCAGCACCCACAATTGGTCAGAGCCCACTCAAGTGACTCCAACACCTAGCAGCTCAAGTAATTAGCAATTTGTATGGCTTTCGGCCGGCCCCATTTATTTCGCAAAGCGCTTACAAAACACCCGACCTGGCCATAAAAGTTCAACACCGTTTGAGCCCTTCGAGCACCTCGGCACAGCCGCCAAAGTGAAGTTCGCCAGAATTTCTCCGCCAGAATTGGTCCTCTAACCGGCGCCTCCTAAGCATAATGAATGTAACCTAAGCATGATTTATACGAGTACGAAGCTCATAAATCTCTGGGTCAGCCAGGAAATGGAGTGAAGCCGTAATCGAAGGCCAACCTCGAATACCCTAAGTTGGCATTATCAAAAATTAATCTTACTTGTCGCTTTAATCCAAGAAGTTCACTTCAAGTTTTGTGTAATTAACTATACCTTAAGTGTATTACATATTTAAGATATTTTAATAGTGGGTGCGCTTTGTTAGTTCAGGTATTCGTCGAATATTATTTGTTTCACTTCATCGCGTCTCAATAACCTTTCCACCTGCCACAAAACGACGTGACCCAGCGGCCTGAAACGGAGGAGCCTGCAGATACACCGCTCCTTCCGGAAAATTTCACATAATTACGTGCACCAGCCGGACTTTCGGGCTGGCAAAATAGGTGCGAAGGTGGATCCCGACACTTTGACCTTTCGGCCACAATATGCGCTCGTTAGTCAATGTTCAGCAATTTGTTATCAATCAATAATAAATGTAAATAACATAATAATGAGAGCACAGGCGCTGGGGCCACTCCCCCGAAGATGATGAGGCATCAGGACATTGGCTCAAATTGTCTGTGGAAGAAAAGGAATTTGGCCTAAATGAGTTATGGCCCGCATGAACAAAAAGGAAGTGCGAAAGCGCCCACGGAGGCATGCGATATTGTATTTTTTCCGCCCCATCACGGCAGCTGTTTTCCGAATAGACAACGCCGCCAATTGAGCGAATCAATGACCAGCCAGTCAGTCTTGAAAACAAAAAGATACAAAAACACGGACGCCCGGAAACAAACAGGCGGTGTAGGATACTGTAGGATACTGGGAGCATTCATGGTCGTATTTTTCACTTTTTTGCCCGCTGGCCATTCGATAGCGTTTCTCAGCTTAAAGCTGCAAAAACAGAGAGCTGGAAACAGATACAAATGCCTGTTATCTCCGAGGGAATACGAATACGAATACGAATACCCATCCGGCCTCTGCCGCTGCACCTGGTCTATGAGTTCTCCTGTTGCCGTGAGGAAGTTCATCTTATTCTGGCTAATTATTCCATTTGTTTTGCAGCTCCAAGTTTTTTGCCTTGCTTTGTTCCGTTGCCCCAAGGATTCTGTGGCGTGACTGCACTATCAAAAAGTGCTGTGTACTAAAACTTCCTCCTGGCTGAATGACTCCCTCCTCCTGGCGAATGGCGAATGCTGAATGCTGGGCGTACATATTGCACAGCACATGCAGTTCTGTCAAAACAGCAGTACTCGGTTAGCAGCTGGCAAATAACACATGAGAAATGAGCAAATTAGTGGGCGAGTCACGGAAAAGTTTTAGCCGGATTTTGGCTCCAGATTAGCGCGAGGATACTTTGTTATTCTTTTTGAGGATTGTATTCGGGGCAATGCCAAACATTCTAGACCACATCGCTTTTAAATGCTGTGTACATGTATAGCTGTGTTGTAAGTATCGTAGATACTTTCCTCTTCAAATTCATTGCAGCTCCGTGCAAAAGTGTAAAGTGAATAAAGTAGCCAAAATTAGATGTTAGCTGAAAAAGTTTATATCAGTTAGCTGGCTGATAAACAAACCAATAAATTTGTTTTGGTATCCGATGCAGCCGCGGGCATTTTTTGCTATTTAATTAACAAAGTTTCGACCCTAACTAAATATTTCAATAAATAACAGTCCGATAATGTTCGGTGTACTTGGCGCTTATTATTTTCTACTTTATACATTGCAGATAATTTCAAATACTTTCAACTTTCAGGTAAATGCCGTTCTCGGTGCCCAACAGAAAAGATTTCTTGGAAAATATCAAAGGAACTTCGGTGCGACTTGATACGGAGAATTTGAAACGCCGGAGCAGCGACACGAGCCCGATCTTGGCCTGAATCTTTCCGAACCGCAGTCCAATGCAGTTCCGCGGTCCATCGCCAAAGGGCAAGTAGGCCATCGGATGGCGGTTCTTGACTTCCTCCGGATCAAAGCGACTGGGATCGAACCTTTCCGGATCGGGATATATCTCAGGATCGTGGTGAATATTGTGAACGGGAATCAGGGCAAGGACGCCCTTGTCCAGCACAATATCCGAGTGGGGAATTTTGTAGTCTCGATTAGCCTCCCGAATGAGATGGGGAAGCAGGGGATGCTTTCGAAGAGTTTCTGAAAGAGGTTTTGGCTGGAAATCAGTTCATTAAGATGGCGGATCTGTACCTACCTGATAGCACCTGATCCAAGTAGCTCATTTCAGCCAGAACGTCGTAGCTCAGCTCTCCTCCTTCCACACTGGCCAGCACACTTTCAATCTCCTCCCTCAACCGCCGCTGAATCTCCGGCTGCAGGGCCAACTCGTACAGGCAGAAGGACATGGTGCTGGAGGAGGTCTCGAAGCCAGCCACGAAGAAGACGAAGGCCTGGGCAGCCATTTGCTCCAGGGTCAAGCCGTGGGAGAGATCGATGCCCTGACCCTTCCTAGCCGCCTCCTGGTCCTCCGCTCGGAGCTCTATCATTTGCTCGATGAAGTCGTTGCGCTTTATGCCGTTCCTGAGGCGATAGTCAACGGTGTTCTTCACCGCCGCCATGAAGAACTCGGTCACATCATCGGGCAGTATTTTCATTCTTAGTTTTTTAGCCAACCTGGCGTTGGTGAAGATAAACGCTTGCACTAGCGTGGAATGACGCCGCCTGGTGAATATTTCACGACCCTTCTGTCGGAACTCGGCACTGGGATCCTGGAGACTGTTGCACTCCAGCCCGAAGGCGCACGATCCAATGACATCCGTGGTGAACCGGGCACAGAGGTCCTTGATCTCCACATTACCGTCCTCCACTTGGGCCTCCTGCACCGCCTTATCCATGGCATCGCCCAGGCGAAGACCCACGTCCACGATCACCTTCGACATCTGCTTTATCTTCCCGGAGGTGAAAACGGGAGACAGCTTGTGCCGCATGGCGCGCCACTCATCGCCCTCCAGTGCAAACAGGTGGCCTGTGAGCGGATCGTCCCGGGGATTGTTGAAGGCACTACGATCCTGGAAGTAGCTGAAGTCCTTGATCATCACCTGCTTGATGAAATCCAGATCGGTGATCATGGCAGTTCGCCTGAAGAACATGTACATTCCGGCGATGGGAGCCTTGCCCTTAAACTTCTTATAGATTCTTTGGTTGATATCGCGGAAGTGGTACTTCTTCACGATACCCTTCATGTTGCCAACTAGCGGCAGTGGCCTCTCGTGTGGAACTCCTTTCCTCTTCCAATAAGAGAAGATTTTCACATGCAAACTGTAGGCCAAGGCCAGGACCACGCCCAAAAGGGCGATTGTAAAAAGCATTGCGAGCGGTCGCGTCTTTGTTGCCTGTTTTTGATAACGTTTGTGTTAACACTGATCGTTTTGCCCCTTAGTTAGCCATTATATACCGAACGAAGCTTTTAACAACGCCTTATCTTTCTAAAAACATTTGCGGTGGCACTAAACGTGAATTGTGAACCAAAAGAGTGCCGAACCTCAGACACCATTTATTTGGTTGATCAAATAAAATGTTATAGTTAAACAAATGAGTTTTGATCTACTAATAGAGGGAATTCCGCCGGAAGGCTTATGAAACTTTTCTTTCAGCACCGTATACTTATCGCCTACCCGACTTCACTGAATCAGCGTTTAGGAACAACTGAGGCACGATGATTGTGGATTTCCAAAGAGCTTTGCAACGCTTCAGAGAGCTTGTTTTCTACCAAACAGAATAAACAATTTATTTGTATTTTAGAATCTAAAAGCACAACTAGGGAATGACTAGACACAAACTTACTTAAACTAGCCAGCACCAATAACACGTGAGTCACACTGAAAGGAAGCTTTGCAATACGTTTTGACCGCTGACTATCATGATAATATTGCCTAAAGATCTTGAGATACAGTGACATTACTACGTACTACAATAATAATTGGTTTGCCTTTAACTATTGCCCTGAAAAGCCGCAAGCCGCTCAAAATCAGGAACAAGCAATCTACTTTTAATAAGCAAAATCTCCGTGGCCTGCATTATTATTTAATTCCAGCTTCTGTTTATGGCTCGAGCTGCCTTTAACTGCGGCATTACGATTTTTATGTCGATTGGAAGACGGCGCATTAGCGGCATAAAACGAGCCGTGAGCATTAGGCCCAAATCCTTTAAGCACCAAGAACAGCTCACACGCCCGCACAAGGTCGCAAAATGCTTTTAGGCGCGACTTCGTTTTATTATTTACTGGGGAGCAGAAAGAAGTCCTGCGGCAAGGAAGCTGGGCATCCAACCACTTTAATGCTGCCCAACTGGCATGTCGTTTAATAGGCCTTTGATAGCGTTTAATTTTTGTAATATGCCTGGCGAATTTAGTGACACCAGCAGCTCGATTTAGTGTCGTTTTTATTGCCTTTATGCTTGAATTGATTTCTGGACCGTCACAGTGCCCAGTTTAATTAAAGGTGAGGTGCAAATGCCAAGAGGAGGCAAGCAAGTCGTCTGGCGAATCATCAAAAGCCTGTCAATAAACTGATGTTTTCTTTTCCTGTTTACGCCCAGGCTCACATTTCAATTAAAAGGACAAACACTCTGGGAGTCGAATAAAAAAGTGTCTTGGAAAGAGGATGGAATGGGGATGTCAGTACTCATTCGTGTCTGTTTTAAAGAAAACATTTCAGCTACAAGCTAACTCGTATCCCTTTGGAAAACAAACTTGAAGCAGAGAATTCACTTGCATTCATTTTTATTGCACTACAGGTACATTAATAAATCCCCAACTAATATTTTCCCTTCTTTTCATCTGTTTTAAAGAAAACATTTGAGCTACAAGCTAGCCTTTGCCAAAAACAGGCTCAGCATTTGTAATTTCCCTTTCGTATCCCTTTGGAAAACCAACTTGAATTTGCATTCATTTTTTATTGAATAACAGGTATATTAATAAACCCCCAACTAATAGTTTCCCTTCTTTTCACAATTTTATGGCATTGGGTTCGTCGTAGTCCAAAAGTTTCATCGATGGCTTATCAGCTTTTTTTGTTAAGGTGGTCATGTTGAGACAGCACTTCTTGATAGCAACTACTTGAGTCACCAAATCTTTCTTGGTAATTCGGGGGTAATTATCTATTGATATTTCTGAGGTTGATTATAGAAATTATAATTTTAGAAGAATTTCTAAAGAATTAGAAGAATTTTATAGAAATTAGAAATTATAATTATTTCAGATACAATCAGGATGCGATATGCTAGTAGGAAAGCCATAAAATAACCTTGTTACTATATGTTACCATAAAATAATTAAAAATATATTTAAGCGCCTTGGACACTCCAGATTGGCACACAAATACTGCTTCTCCCAAAGAACAAAGTATTTATGTAATTTATCAAGTCATTTTGCAATAATACCTATAGCTCGCCAAAAGTCTCTGTAATCACGGCTTATCCCTCCAACTATCGGTGTAAAACAAATAAATAAATATTTAAACAAGAGAAAACGCTGTAGTCAGACATGGCCAGATCAACTTATTATATGTTACAAACTACTTCACTAATCTACGAATAGTGAACCTCAACTAAACAATGTATATAGTATTTGTTTACAACCTTATCTATCTATCACCTATCTATCAGTACTGTCTGGATCGCCATGTGAAAAAGCTTTGTCGACTCAAAAAACTTAGCAAATGTTAATGCACATTTTCAATACATATATTTGATAATCTGTATACCTTTAGGAAGAATATCAGTTAAAACTAAAAAAGTCATATTCCAGAAAATAGTACTCGTTCTGGAAAGCTGAATCTAAACAAGTATCTTGATCGCCATGCTGCTCACTCTCGCACTATTGAGTTTGCTTCTATTGTTGGCCTATAGATTCTACCACAACACCTACACATATTGGGCCAGAATAGGAGTGCCCCATGAGCGCCCGCTTCCGTTGATACATACACATACATACATACATATAGACATTCATACATACATACATACATACATACATACATACATACATACATACATACATACATACATACATACATACATACATACATACATACATACATACATACATACATACATACATACATACATACATACATACATACATACATACATACATACATACATACATACATACATACATACATACATACATACATACATACATACATACATACATACATACATACATACATACATACACCGGTACATACACTACACACACACTACACTCACTGCTCGACCGGAAGGAGAGATTACTTGAACTATTTTGCGACTCTAAATTAGAAGACATGCCTTACAGTCCTCACTAGAACTAGTTGGGAATTATTGGGCTACAAGAAAATATTTCTCCTAAGCAAATATTAAACGCGGCAATAACTATGTGTTCCGACAGTAAGTTAAACATTCTTCAGGCTTTAATTAAGAGAATTTGTATTACTTTGTGCAAGTAACACATACATACATACATGCATAAATACATACATACATAAATACATACATACATAAATACATACATACATACATACATACATACATACATACATACATACATACATACATACATACATATACCGGTAATTATAAATAAATAATTACTACCGAATGCGTATAGTTACTATAATCACTTAAATATCTTTTAACGCTTAGCATTGAACTTTGTATATTTTCATATAATAATTGATCTGAAAGCAGAACATTAGCAACGCTCTATACATTTTGCTTGCAAAACGTGAATTATCATATAAATGACGCAAGATATTGTATGTAGGTATGGATAACTGCAGTTCCTAACATATAATAGCGATAGAAAAAGAGAGCCCCGAAAAGAGAGCGACCCGAGAGCTTTTCAGCCGGAAAACAAATGTGCCCCACTTTTCCACTCAGTTGCTATTCTATCGAGCCGTGGACACCATGCTAACGCTCCTGGTACTCGTGCTCATCGCCGGTCTTTTGCTGTATGCCAAGCTCCGATGGCATTACAGCTACTGGAGCAGAAGGGGCGTGGCCGGAGAAGCACCCGTGTATTTCCGCGGCAATATGAGTGGGCTGGGAAAGGACCTTCACTGGACGGATATCAACATGCGGATCTATAGGAAATTCCGGGGAGAGGAGCGCTACTGCGGCTACTTCACGTTCATGACCAAGTCGTTGTTTATCATGGATCTGGAACTGATCCGCGAGATTATGATCAGGGACTTTGCCAGCTTCGCCGATCGAGGACTCTTCCATAATGTGCGGGACGATCCGCTGACCGGGAACCTGCTCTTCCTGGACGGACCGGAGTGGCGCTGGTTGCGGCAGAATTTGACGCAGGTGTTCACCTCGGGCAAGATGAAATTCATGTTCCCCAACATGGTGGAGGTGGGCGAGAAGCTGACGCAGGCGTGTCGCCTCCAGGTCGGCGAGATCGAGGCCAAGGATCTGTGTGCCAGGTTCACCACGGATGTGATCGGCAGCTGTGCCTTCGGCCTGGAGTGCAATAGTCTCCAGGATCCGGAGTCGCAGTTCCGGAGCATGGGTCGCTCAGTGACCACGGAGCCCCTGCATTCGGTTCTTGTCCAGGCCTTTATGTTTGCTCAGCCGGATTTGGCAAGGATGCTGCGCTTCAGGCTTTTTCGTCCGGAGGTCAGTGAGTTCTTCCTGGACACTGTACGCCAGACATTGGACTACAGGCGACGGGAGAATATCCAGCGCAACGACCTGATCCAACTGCTAATGGAACTGGGCGAGCAGGGAGTTAAGGATGCCCTGTCCTTCGAGCAGATTGCGGCCCAGGCATTAGTCTTCTTCCTGGCCGGGTTCGATACCTCCTCCACCACCATGTCCTTCTGTCTGTATGAACTGGCTCTTAACCCCGATGTCCAAGAAAAACTACGAGTTGAGGTGCTCGATGTTTTGAAACGCAACAACCAAAAGCTCACGTACGACTCCGTTCAGGAGATGCCCTACCTGGACCAAGTGGTAGCCGAGACCCTTCGCAAGTATCCCATACTGCCTCACTTGCTGAGGCGTTCCACCAAGGAATACCAGGTACCGGATAGCAGCCTAGTCCTAGAACCGGGAACGAAGATCATAATACCTGTGCATAGTATTCACCACGATCCAGAACTTTATCCCGATCCAGAAAAGTTCGATCCCAGTCGCTTTGAGCCAGAAGAGATCAAGGCCCGACATCCCTTCGCCTATTTGCCGTTTGGCGAGGGTCCTCGTAACTGCATAGGCGAGCGATTTGGCAAACTGCAAGTCAAGGTGGGCCTCGTATATCTCCTGAGAGACTTTAGGTTCAGCAGGTCAAAGAAAACACAGATCCCGCTGAAGTTTTCCAGCCGTAGTTTCCTGATATCCACCCAGGAGGGAGTTCATTTGCGTATGGAGGGACTTGCCGCACCGTAGCAGTTGTCATTTGAAAATGTGTATCAGCCTGACAGCGCAAAATATGTATAGGAAAGTTCTTATCTAGAAAAGACTGCGTTCTTATTGTATAAATCCCTACGGTATACAAATAAACACAAAGAAATGCTCTATTATCAGAAAGCTTTTTAAAACAATTAATTAATGATATAAAGAGAAAAAATTGTGTTTGAGAGAGACAAACGTAATAAAAATATAATTTAAATGGAAATCTAAATTGAAAAAATAGGTTTGTCTTAGAACGTACATATATTAATATATGAAATGCACCAATCCGAATATTATACGTATGTGCACACATAAAGCAGAAAACGAAAAGCTCTTAAAAGTCGAGCTTGTATATGCGGGCTGAGAATGCTGCGCTCAAAAGCTGTAAAATATTAATAAAAACAAGAGAGAACGCTATAGCCGAGTTCCCCGACTTTCAGATACCCATTACAGAGCTAATGAAAGTGCCATCGAGATATTTATACATTTTTTTGGCATGTCTATCGAAATTGGGAATACAATAATAAAATGAAAAAAATAATTAAAAATGTTTCCTAATGTTTTTTGGCAAATCGATAAAAAATTACAAGACTAATAAAAAAATGAAAAAATATATAAACGTTTTCCAAAAGTGAGGGGGTGGCTCTACGAGTAAAGGGTGCACAAAGAATAGAAAACTTAATAAAAAGTATAGTTTAACATACCACTTTTGACAATTCTAATAATAATAGAAATAATACATTGCAGATTATTATTTTTTTAAGCATTTCGGGAAACACTTGATAAGACTTGATACGATTGATAATGTTACAGATATTTTGAATTACAATCATTATTCGCAAAGAAATAACTTAATCCACATTGGTTTTAAGTGTGAAATTAAAATTTAAACATTAAATCAATAAATTTTAAAGACCAAAAACGAGTTTGTACAAAAGTTCCATGATATTTTCGTCCAATACAAGTTCATAGCTATAGCACTCAAATTATGTGTTGGCGTGGATAACAGGTAACGAGCAAGCTTTACGCACACTCAAAAGCTGACTAACATAGTAACCGGTAAAGCTTGTTATGAACAGTTTGTTATCAACTCAGTTGAATTCCCACTCCTTTTCAAAACTCATGATGGTTAGATGAGGAAATGTAGCGAATGATAAAGGAAGGAAGAAATTGCCTAGTTCTCAAAATGCAATCACATATAAATAATTAACTTATTAACTTTGTTGCTAACATCGCCAATGAATCGAGGCTGAACAGATTATGAGCGCATAAAGCGAAAAGATTGGTGACGGGAGTCTGCAACATAAGACTATTCGTGTAAGAAAAAAATTGTGTAAATTAACAAAGATAATTTGAATATTTTCCTAAAAAATAACACGATAACTGCCATTTAACTACTATAATTCCAATCCAAAGTTATTCAATAATATGCAAAACAAAAAATATTTTCAAAAACTAAATACATATGTAAGTAGTTAAAATAATTATTATTTTATGTAGTGATACACAAAAGAAAGCACTTAAGAAATGTTCACTATATAAATGGATTGATGGTTATTATAGAGAGCTTTTGAATAAATTACTTTCATTAATCAGAGAATTGTTACGCCAAAATAATAATCGAGCCAAGAAAAACATGTGCCAGACGTTTTTCGTAAAAACTAATTTTATTAATAATACATACAATACAGCTTAGTGGTACTAAGAATGCCTGCACGCAAGCTGTCATTTTAGGTAGCATTCAACATTCAGGGGAGCTAAGTTAATAAGTTAATTGGTTTCACTTGTTTCTGACGACAATGGTATCCAATCTCAATGATGATCACAACGCCAACGTCCGCGCGCTCCAAGTACATCTGGCTGGGATTAGTGTTTGGGATTAGGGGATTAGGGCTATCTATTGTACACAAGCATCTCTTAATCTGCTAATCGTAATCTAAATCAGCGCCCCACTAGCACGACTCCTTGTTGCAGTCGACGAAGTTGCTGAACTCGGTGGCATTGGGCGGGCCCTCACTGTACAGGTAGGTCACGGGCCACAGGCGGGCGGCGGCGAAGTCACTGAGGCTCTGCAGTCCGCCGGGTCGAGGGGGGTGCTGGCTGTACTCGCTGCTGGCCGCCGTCGCCGGCTGGGCGTGATGGGGGTGTGGATGCTTCTGTTTCTCCTTGGCACTGGGCAGTCCCAGGTGCGAGTGGGTCGGCTGGGTGCCGTTCTTTCCGGGGAAGTAGCGATCGCTGCACTTGCGCCACTGGTCCGACTCGTCGCCCACAAAGCACCTGGAAAATGTGAAGGACAATGTACGAATTATGGGCCAATTGCTATTTTTTGAGTTGCTTTCGGTGAAAGATGAGTCTCTATCCACCACAGGACTCCTTCAACTTACCATGGATAATCGAATCCCTTGCTGTAGCCGCACGGGTGGTCCGCCTTACAGCAGTAGTCCCAGGAGCCGACCTCGGAGGCGTCCGTCTCGCAGGAGTAGAAGCCCGTGATGAGATTCTTGGCGCAGGGACTGCTCCGGCGGCAGGGTTTTCCGGACACGGTGTAATGACGCCAGGCCACGTCGCCTTTAGCGGACAAGAAGCGAGTTTAGTGAGGTCGAGAACACGGGATTTAGGGGATGGAAATCGGAATCAAATTGGGAAAACGGTGACATGCAATCGGTCGGTTAGTAGCTTTTTGGGGGGATTCGCCATTCGGTTATGCTGGGACTGGTGCCTCTGTACATGCTAGTAAACGTTATTTACACAACGAGTTACGCTACAAACTAACTTACACAAGTTCTAAAGCTAATAATACACAACTAATGCCAATCCGCTGGACGGGAAGAGCACCCGGAACCCGTTATTTACACTTGGATCGACGTGCAACAGGTTAGTATGTTGAGTTTACCCGGTTCCCGGAAGATGTCCATGCGCCTGTCGTTGTTCACCCGGGATCCCCCAATGGTGTTGACCTTGTCCCGGCAGGTCCAGTCGAAGGGATTCCAGGCGAAGAGCCAGAAGTCGCGGTCCTTGGTGTGCGCATAGTGCACATCCTGTTTTAGCTCGGTCTGGTCCAGGTCCGAAAGCTCACAGTTGAAGGAGCTGGCATGGGAGCTGGCGTGTGGATGGAGAATTTTGATTACACTGCCATTGGGTTAGGCAATTCGTATGACTCACCCATAGCTGAAGGCAAAGCACTTGAAAGGAGTCGTTTCTCGGAATCGGATGCACTCCTTCTTGCAGGCCATCTCGGAGGGCACCGAAATCACTTTCTTGATGGCCGGAGGAAGCAGTCTAGCCGGTGATCCGTAACCCAAATAGCAGACTGAGAAGTAGTTGGATACTTATAGTTTCTACGGACTCACTAATCCCAAATCAACCCACGTTTCTTGTGCTTCTCATCCACAATTGGCTGGATTTCACATCCGTGCCCGTAGCTGGCTCGCTCGAAGATGTCGAAAGCGGCGTCCAGGATGAGATGCCGCTCCTTGTCCATGTCCCGCACTGGCCAGTCACTCAGCTGGCAGTTGTCGATGACTCCGGCATGTCGCTGCTGGCCGTATCGGAAGGCAAACGCCCGGCAGGTGAACTTTGTGGAGCGGATGCACTCCATCTCGCACTCGCCCACAGATCGCACGGTCAGCGAGTCACGGACAATCGACTTAAAGAACCGTGTGGCATCGATTGCGCGGAAGAAACATTCTGCAGAATTCGAAAAGGATTTAGTCATTAAAAATATACAAATATATACAGGACCTTAACCGTGTTATAAAATCTATTAATTTTCAATGCTAAAACTCTGCTTTCTTCTAAATATTTATGGCTTTACTCTAGGTATAAAAGGATAAAGGATATATTGTAAAATATCATACAATTAGAAGAGCTGTGAATAGTTATATTTAGGATAATAATAGGTGTGATATCAACTTACGGGCGTTTCTCGGATCGGAAAGGGCGGTGCTAGGGCCGGCGGTATCATGTCGTCGTGGTGGAGGCTGCCGGCACACGTCCATGTCGTCCGCCATGGAGTAGATGTCGTAGTCCCGGTCCGGCTCGATGTCCACGTAGTAGTCGAGCATGTTGATGGGCCGGTCGCAGAGCATGCAGTTGTCCCTGCCCGCCTGGTTGTACCGGTAGCTGAACGTGTGGCAGACGAAGCTGGGCCGCTGATCCGAGCACAGGCGCTCGCACTCCGTCAAGGTGGGCACGTTGTAGGCGTGCCTCACGGCCGTCTTGTGCAGCCGGAATCCCTCGCTGGTTTTCGCCGAGCATTCTGTGGGTATCAATCAACAAAATTGATCAAACTAGTGTACAAAACAGCAAGAGAAAACAAGAGCGAGGGTAGCTAGAAAACACCATTACCATCTTGTCCCGCTCGCCGAGTCCACTGTTGACGGTAATCGTTGCGTCGTCGAGGGTAATCGTCCTCGTATCCAGAGCCCGGATAGCTGAGCACCGAGTTGGATTCGCGATGTGGTGCTCCCAGCTGGAAGTAGTTGAAGTCGTGCTGATCCTTGCGCCTCTGGGATTCTGTGAGACCCCAGTAGGAGGATGATGATGAGGAGGAGTGCTTGCTGCTGCCACCATAACTACCACCATAGTGTCCCCAGTTGTCCTCGCCGCCAATCAGGTAGGGAACAAATTTGTTTGGCTTTTTGTTGGACCCTGGAGGTCCTAGAGGTCCTGGAGGGCCTGCTCCATCGCGATCGAGGTAGTTGTGCGACGGACGACTTGGCGGTCGATAGGGCGAATAGTCCGAGCCAGGACGATACGGGGGTCGGTACTTGTCGATGCGATCCGTTTCGGGACGAGGCGGTCTATACGCGGAGCTATCGTAGCCGGAGCTGCTCGGCAGAGTTTCCCAGCGGTCCGGTCTTCCGGGACGATAATGCGGAGCATCATGGCGATCCACGTAGGGATGGTCGCCGCCATAGCTACTGGGTGGGGTGTGACCAAAGTATCCAGAACTGGAACCCGAGCTAGAACCTGAGCCATGCGAGGAGAACTCATAGGAGGATGCCGAGGAGGATGAGCTGTGCGATCCATGGAACTCGGAAGAGAAGGGCGGCCTTTGCTCGTAGGAGGAGGAGCCTGGGGGACCAGATGGACCGCGGTAGTGGTCCACGGCAGTGCTGCTATGCGGACGATAGTGATCCCTGTCCCTATCGCGGTCACGGTCCCGGTCACGGTCACCATATCCGCCTGCTCCTCCACTGGGCTTGAAGTAAACAGGCTGGCTGCTCACCGGACCCTGGGAACAATCCTGGCAAGCACTGCGGCGACAGCTGCTCGGCGCATTGCGGTCCCTCTCGTAGTAGTCGTAGTCGGGATGCCTCAGCAAATTGGCATCCCGTCGATCCGGACTGGAGTACAGGTCCATCTGGGCCAGCGGCATCTCGACCAGCTCGCAATCGCCCTGCCCGTGACCCGAAGGATCCAGCCTGTAGTTGAAGCCCTCGCACATGAACCGCCGCTCGCGACCGCACTCCCGCATGCACTCTTCCACTCGCTCGCAGGATATGGAGCGGCGCACGAAGTGGGGGGCAATACGTTTTCCGGCCAGGACTCGTCGGAAGCAGGCTGAAAAGCGGATTAAGTAAATGTTGCAGTGCCAGTTGCAGATGCTGCGTCTTACGCAATTGTGGGCAGCAAAAAAGGCGGAAAATATAACAACCATTCAACGTTCGGAGGCAGTGAAGCGAGGACAGAGCTCAAGATCGGGCTGGGTTACTTTATTGCCGACTACACTTGGAGAAAATCTGAGTTTATGCTACTGAATTTGAAGCAGGGGTATGCCGATTTATTCCATTGCAGTTATTAAGTACTTAACTTCTTTTATTCCTTGCTTCAATTATTTTCCGATTATTTTTAAGACAGCTTTGAAATGTAGTGGACAGGTGGACAAGAGTATAATAAGAGCCAAACTGCTTAAAATTAGCCTTTCAATTGTTGGTATAATGCAAGCGATCTGACTAATCGTAAACCTTTCACTTTCTAGCAACAATTTAATTTTAAAATTGATTCTCAGGAAGAGGAGGAATTCTTTTCCCAAGTGCATTTGTGTCCAAGTCATTTCTGTTTCTGCTGCCCTGCCGTGTTTTGCGGCACATCCGCTGCCGTTTTGAGTAAATTATGTTCGAGTCATGTTGGGTGCCATGTACTCCACCGAAGATAATCTCCGGGAAAATTGCCAGCACAGAGCCAAGACAGAGTGTTTTTCACGCAGAACGATGGAAATTATGCAAATTACTTTAATACGCACTCCGAAACTCGGCCGACAGTTTGGCCCCAAGTGGAATGACCCACAAGCGTGGCACCTTACCTTTGGCGTCCTCCACTATGATAATGGTGCTGCTGAGATCGGTGTGGCGCGTAGGACTAACGAACTTCGATACGCCGTCGTGGACGCGACACAAAAGCAGAAGCAGCGGCAGAAGCCCACAGATACTCGCCATTTTTTGGGAGTTTATGGTGCCGAAGCGGTGATTTGAGCGTGATTACGTAATGGTTTAATTTGCGTTCTGGGCCAATTAATTTCTGTGCAATGTCAAGCGCTCGAAACAATGGGCCAGCTGGCCATCCCGCTCGCACACAGGACACGCAGACGCGAACACGATTTCCGACACGAATTTTGGATGCGCGGCGCTGGCGATTCTAATCGCGAATGAACAGCGGCTGTGGTCAAGCTTGCGGTTTTATACGGCATTAGAAAATCGCGCGCGTTTTCCGAGCTTTTCGCTTCTGCGCCGATGCGCCTCTGCGCCTCTGCGCTTCTGAGCCGGGAGCTTTTCGCTCCGCCGCTCAGAAAATCTCAGAAAATGACTCCCCCTTTCAGTGGATTCTTTTTTCCGACACCCGGCGGAGAGCACTTCGCATTGCCCAGAAGCCTTGGATCTGCGGTATAATGAGCATTTTCAGTGGGGCTTTTTTCGGTGGAAGATGCCTATCTTCGCCAATGATTCAGATGAAAATACGAGGGTACAGATCGCTGCGAGATGCGATGCTGATGGGGGCAGCCAACCGTTAACAGACCCAGCTCAAGGATGCCGCAACTTGGTATGATGCTTATTATTTCGTTTCAATAAGAGCGGTCTTAATGAGGTACTAGGAAAGTTATACCTAAACAGTTATCCGCTAGATCGTAGTTTAAATTACGGGCTTATAAAGGGTTTTTATGGCTGCTACAATTTTTCTGCTCAAGGATGGACTATACAAGTATTTGAAGATACTATATATGCCTGTGAGCTTTCTTAAAAGGAAAATCTATTTTAATTTTTGTTGAACTGAAGATGACCAGCATAAAATACTGCTTGCAGGCTATTTTAGTTATAGTTCATTTGTAGTGTTGTTAGTTTTTTACAGTAATAATATTATTAAAGCAGTCTAGAATTGAACGAAAATATTTAAATTACAATTTCAGAAGTATTGCAATAAAAGAATAATACCAAATACTATAACATAAATCAGTTATAATTAGGTAATACATTGAAAAGGATAAATTATTCAAGTTCCTTTCCTAAGTCTTTTGTTTTTGCCCAGATGCGTTTGGCCAATGCTCAATTTCTCAAGGCTTTACGTTTCCCAATCGTGCCTGACCACAAATATGAGTCCAACGATCATATCACCCCTCCAAGCACAAAAAGAAGCCGACTTCAGTGCATTTCCGTTCCTGAATCAATGTCATTGCTGTCAGGCAATGCGGTGGTGCTGCGAACTCGAACCCCGAATGTGGGTGGTTTTTGTGCAGCGACTTCGTGTTCGCATTTGCATACAATGAGTGCCGGAGGAGTGCGCATGCTGAGTGCAGTTCCACTCCGTTCTGTTCTGTTCTATTCAGATCTTGCACAACCCCATAGAACCGCCAAAAACTAGAGATACCTATGGCGAACTAGAAGATCGCTTCCGCCTCCCAGCCAGCTGTAGCCCAATCTCCAAGTGTTAATTACGATCTGTCCCACGCCAAATAAAAGCAAGCTAACTAGCGAACACGCCACCTCAGCCACACAATTAATTGCGCCAACGTCATCAAGTTTGGCATTTGAACTTGGATTCTCTTGGCCCCTGGCACCTGTCACCTGGCACCTGGCACTTGGCATGTAGCATATGGTTTATTCGATAGGCTTATGTCACCGCCACCCGCTGGGTTCATGTACTCCACTTCGTCACACTTGAGAAACCCGAAAGGAAGTCGCGTCGAAATCAAAACACAAATCGTTCTTTGATGATCTGGCTTGGTAGTTTCAGAAATGTCATAAATCTTCTGCATTTGACAACTCAATTTCTTCTGTAAAGTAATGAGATCATAATAAATGAACAGACCGGAAAATAGTTGGTTGAATTAATTTTTGTTGGATCATCTGGCAAAAAATTGATAATTAGCCAGATACAATTTAAATGTGATGGCCTTTAGAAATGGTAGATAGCAAACAATTATTTTGGATACTATGAGAAGGTAGTTTAAGCTGTATAAAAATATCAAGCTTGTCGTTTTTTTTAATTTCAATATTAAAATCTTTACGATGTAAAGCTTTTCCCCTGTAACTTATACTCAGATATTGTAGCTTTTGGTATGCTTCATACTATTTAAATTGGTAATAGCTTTAAATAAAAAACACTTGCTCATTTATGTTTCTGTGCAAAATGACCTAAGAGAACCGAAATGCCTAATATTCCATGTGGGTGACCCCAATTCCTGCATTTCCATTCTACTGCGCTTGCCATTTATCAAAACTTCGGCCACGGCGTTATTTATTATACCGCTTTGTGGGTGGGTTAGTTAGTGGAGCTTTTGGCTCCACTGTGTATTTAATGCGATTGTGAATAATGCCGATGCTTGCTGCAACCGCCCACTCACCCCCGAATCCCAGATCCGATGAGCATTATGCCAGGCTAATGGGTTTAGTTTTGTTACGCAAATAAAAGCAAGGGAATGTGGGTCAATCGGGCGTCTGTCATCTGTCACTTGACCAGTCGGTCGTCGTGGGCCCCAAAAGCTAATGGGTTTTAGTTGTGCGCCAAGCTAATTCTAAATTTTAGTTGTTTTATTGTTGTTGCAACTCTCAAGTGACCCGTGTCATTGTCTATTTATATGGTTATAGGCCCAGGTCTCTAGGGCCAAGGGGTTAGCTGAGGGGACAGCGCTAATCCATTTATTAGTTAAATGTAGGGAACCCAGGAGATGACCCACCACGACGGGATGACTTTCACTCACCTTTCATTTCATCCATGGGATATCCAAGCCGGTCCCTATTCCTATCTCTATCTCTATTGCCGGGCATTGGTCGATCTAAAATAAGACATATTCAGGATTAAGTTAATTTCTATTTTATATATAATTATTATAGGATTATATTATTATTATTATTATTATTATTATTATTATTATTATTATTATTATTATTATTATAGGATGCATCATCATCAGGATCATTATTTAGCAGGGAAACTAAAAAATAATTATATTGATTTGAATTACTAAAAGCTTAACAAAGTTATTTTAAGCTCGATATGCTGCAATGCCTATGATGTAAGATTGTATTATATTTTATTCCCTTTGATAAGGGCAAATAATAAACTGTCTCTACCACTATAACCAGCGACAATTAACGTAGTGACGAAGCGCATACATACACCAATAAATGTAAATACTTAATACTTACTAGACACCAGAGTCTAGATGGTTAGATCGTCACAGGTTTTTTACCCACCGTTATTCCCGTGCATATAGTCATCCGGATTGAAATACGTGGCAATCGTTTTGTCATCGTCGTAACCTCCGTATCCGTCTCCAGGCCTCATAGCACTGCCGTTCCTGCGAACGTACTCATCTCGTGGTGGAGGAGGACCGTCGTAGGAGGGTGAAGGTGGACGTGCCGATGGTCCGTTCATCCCGTAACCAATTTGCGGCGACATGGACGGCGGATCAGGTCGATTGGTGTAGTCCGGGCGTGGTTCGCGATCGGGATCGTAGCTGGGACCCGGCCGTGGTCCATATGAGGGCGGTGTGGAGCCATCGTAGGGACGCGGTGGATACTCCGGACGATCGGCCGTAGGGCGTGGAGGTCCTGGCGGATATTCTGGACGATCGGCAGTGGGACGAGGTGGCCTTGCGGCATAGCTGGGTCGCTCCTCCGAGGATCCACTCGATGGCCGCGCTGTCGGCGGTGTATATCTCTCTGGGGATCCGTAGCTATAACCATTCCCGTAGCCCAAACCGAAGATGGGTCTCGGAGGGCTATGTGGCGTGGGCCTACCTCCATCCTCCGCTGGTTCTATGGGCCCGTAGTGGGGTCGATACCGCTCGTCCACCTCGGGTGCATTGGCTGCATAGCCGCCGGGAATGTAGGCCTCCTCGTTGGGCGACGGATAGTTGCTCTCGTAAAGCGTGGGATACTTATAGAGCGGATACAGGTCGTGCGAGAAGTACAGCCGATCGCCCACGCCAGGAGGCGGCAGGGACGGTCCCAGCGGAGGCGGTGGACTCCCAGAAGTGTGTGGCGTGGGGTTGACCACCAGCACTGGCGTATTGCCGACATCCAAGGGCCTGTTCGGCAGATCCAGTGGCGTCGGTCCGGGTGAAATGGCACTGGGACCGGGCACGGGCTGCGGACCGGCGGCAATCGAGTTGTCGCTCAAGTCGAAGCAGTTCGTCTTGCGCGTGTACAGATCAAAGTCGGGATCGAAAATCACGCCCCCCGGCCGCCCGCCGCCCCCCGAGCCGTACTGCTCCGATGACAACTGACAAGTGCCGTTTCCGCGTCGATGAACACTGCAAAATTCCGAAAAAAGAGAAGGAAAACACATATATACATAAGATGGAAATTGGGCAATCAAGGGGTGACAGGTGGAAGACGACTCACCCGAACGAGATGGCCTGACACTTCTCGCCCGCCTGCAGGCACTTCTCCTTGCACATCTTCAGCGAGTTGGTGTCTTCGGTGCGGAAGGTCTTCTCAAATGGCAGCATCGCCTCCAGTGCGATCCGCTCGAAGCAGTCTGTCGATGCAAGATGGTTAATGCGAGCTCCCAATTACAAAAGGTTCAGCTGCTAGTTAGGTAACTCCCCAGGCCCTTCCCCTCCTACTCCCCAGGCAGCCCCTACTCCTTTTAGCTCCTAAACAATTGCGTCACCCCACTTGCACTTTCAAGGCCACCGCTGGTGCTCCACTTCGTCCACTCTACGGTAGGTTAGTTTTATTGACTCTGCAATTGTCTCGTTTCGATTGTTCGCTGGCTTTGTTCTCCATTCGGATTCGGATTTGAATTTGAATTTTATTAACTTTGCGTGCCGGTGGGGCGCACTTGGGTGACCCATAGAATTTTTGTCAGTGCATGAATAATTCAAAAAGGTCAAACCATAAACAAAACACGCTGCTCTGCGGTGTTTGTGGTCTGACATGCTTGATGGATTGGCCCCCAGCTTATGGTTATTAGATTGACATGATATTTTCCAAGAAATTACCTCATTTAGAATTTTTGAACGTTTCCTAAGTACTGAAATTCGAACTAATTTTCAGTACAATTAATTTTGGGTATGCAAATATAAATAAAATTGTAGTATTATACTTGTTTGTATTAAGTTACCCAGCAATAACCGAGGAACTTAAGTTGTAGATAGGATCCTATCATCACACTTTAAAGTGAAGTAAAAATCATACTTTATATAAAAAAATATCAAAATAATTTACTTTGCGTTACGACGAGAATGGGTCAATAACTCTGGTACACCCTCATACAAACACCATTATACGATTTTCCCACTTGCACAATGCCCGTAAAGGTTCTTGAAAAGCATAAAGCCGGTTGTAACGACCAATTTGAAGCGTAAATGCTGTTCATAAACGTTTTAACTGCGACAACATAAAAAACTTACTTATTACTGCACATATGTAATTAAATAAAAAAAAACATTGAGTTGTATGCAACATCATGTAGCGCCAGCAAAAAATAAGAAAAGAAGTTCTAAAAATAAAACTTTTCCACAAAAATTGAAAGAGCCGTTTTCCGTTTGCAAATATACTTTTCTTTTTTATGGGTAGCAGCTAGCACCAATTTGCAATATTTCACTTACCATTTCTTGCGGATACCAACTGGTTGTCGACCGTCAGAGCCCTCGAAGAATCCCAGAGACCGATGAGGAGAAAAGCCACCTGGAGGCGTATTAGTCGCTGCCCAAGCGAGTTATCGCTGATCGCGATCATGGGGCCCGCGATTAGTTTATGACCCCAGCGGCGCTTTCCGATATTACGATGCTTTCTTTTAGATTTGCTCTCACTTAACTCGCTTCTTTTGGCACTTCCCTTTTTGCATCATCGGCGGTTTCACTTGGGCTTCTGGCCAGAAGATTTGCTCGGGGCACCGATGGGATGGACGCGAGATTTCGAACTGAGAGATGGGACTCGGTGGTGGCGCGTAGAAACCTTCTGCTTCTTTCTTCCGCCTTTCTTTGCAGTCGCGTGTTCTTTCTCTTCTCGTTTTGTGATTCGGGCTTTCGCGTTACGATTCGCTACTTTTCACATTCTTTTCACCGTTAATTATGTTGCCAAAATATGCAGATCGTTAAAATGAGCCAAGATCGGCGTTATTTATGGGTTCGCGGGCAAGAGGCGGCTTAAGATTCTGCGGTTGCGGAAGAAGCGGACTCACATAATTATGATGGGTCCGGCATGTAAGTTCAGGTGGGAGAGGGAGGGCGAGAGTCAATAACCTGGCCAACCAAGCGGCACGAAGCCTTCTTACAGGCGCTGACGTCAGAGCTCACTGCACAGGTGCCTGTGACCTTTCGACCAAAAGTTTTTGAAGTTGGGCGGGCGATAATTAAAAACCCGAACGACAAAGTGCTCATCAATGCGTAAATCCAGCATTGGCCATCTGAATGCGGAAAGCACCTAAAATAATAATAACTTATTTGCTCATAGTGGCCAGCAACAAAAAATCATTACGCTAATAATCTTGATTAACTAAGAACGAAGAATTCTTCTCAGAATAAAACGAACACCATTTTGATGGTGAAAATTGTTAGATTGTTCCGGCGACTTTCTTCTTTTTTGGGGCGCGGTAAATTATGTTGGGAAATGTAGCGAATATAACGGCATTTCCGTCGCGCTTTGACACTTTGAAAATCTCCAAAATTTTCGCTAATGACAAGAAAGCCGCCCGGCAGTACACACCTAATTTAATTTACTTTCTTGGTTCCTTGTCTACCTGTTTGCATTCAATTCGACTATCGGGCCAATTACTATTTATTTTACTTTATTTTATTTTATTGCGGTACTCGTCTCGTTTGGTTTGGCTTGTTTTCGCTGCTTCGCGCACTCGACGCCGATCCGCACTCGCTAAACAATTGAAACTGAATAAAATTCTGATTTAGTTGTGTTCGAAACTCATCGGAAGAGCAGAAAGCGGCGCAGACGCGACAGTGCTGCGGCAGCGCCGCGGGCAGCGACTGCGGCAGGTAGCATCTCTCTCGGTAATTTGTTGTTGCCACACTCAGAATAATGCTGCACCAAGTAAAAGATATTTCCATAAAATATCCCAGATGTTCCAATGTCATTCTTACATTAGTGAAAAGTGAACTTTCATGTTTATATTCCATTATAATCGGATTTATCATCTTATTTTCTTAAATGTTCCTAAGTTTTGTAATTTTAACCAGGCCCTGCTTTTGTTTAGAGCCTATAAATGTTCGCAAAAAATCCTAAAAAATCAGGCTATTGATTGAACCATGTGACTGGTTCCTAAAATAAGCAGAGTAAGGAAGCTAATAGTTAAGGGATCAGATGTTATACTTAATTTAATTTAAACTTATTCCATGTGCTTAGAAGTGGTTTTTGTCAAATTTGCCTTGCCAGCTTGGAAACATTTTCCCAAGTGTAATTTAGTTGTTTATTTAGATGGAACTTCACTTCAAGTGTTAGTTGTCTGGTGGCAGGGTGGCAGGGGGTGGGGAGCAAGAGGCGTCATCATCATTATCTTCATTAGCATTGCCTACGCTGCGCCCACTTGAGTGGTTGCTGGGAGGGGGGTTCCTCGCGGAGAGGGAAGAGCAACTTGGGGGTTCGTCCGAGTTTCGCCCTGCTCCCCGCCTCCAACTCCTGGCAATGACTCTCGAAATTGTTTAAAATGAAATTGTAACAGCGAAACTTACTCACGTTGCTAGACAACTCGAAATGCCCTTTAAAATAAACATTTTAAGGGTAGGAATAAAGAACACAGACATTTTTTCTTTGGTGCCCCTAAAATATGAAATAGATGTAGGCCTTAAATTTAGCTTAAAATGGCAGACCAAATCACTTCGAAAGCCACGTATTAAAAAGATAATGCTGGCACATTGTGGGTTAATATATTAACACAAATAAAGCAATCGCAGCAAAAAGTAAACCTAAACAGTAAAAACTGAATCTTAGGCGTTAAGCTGTTGCCAAAACGCTTAAACGAATTCAAAGACTCTTCACTGTGCCAACATCGAAACAAAGGCACATTTGCGTGATTATTTCGTATGTGTTTTGAGTTTCTTTTGCTGCAATTAGAGAGAGAATTCTTGGCTAGAAGCCGGGAGTCAGTGGAGCAGTCGAATCTTCAGCCAGAACTTCAGCTTGGCGCTTGGAGAGTTTTCTTTCCGCCTTGCTGAGCGCGCTAAGCGCTGTGAAATTCAAATTTAACGGACACCCACCGACGCTGCCACTGCCCACAAGTGCATTTGGGCTTTAACTGAAGCGTTAATTCGAGCGAGTTTTCACAAGGCACTCGAAAAAGAGATTTTCGAAGCCGCACTCCGAAAGATGATGACCCGCCAGGTGGGTGGGTGGATTGGAAGCTTGCACTTGGTAGTTTGGTAGCTTGGTAGCTTGGTAGCTTGGGAGGTTGGGAGGTGAGGCCGTAATTGGCGACACCTTTAAGTGTCGACCTTGTCATGCTCGCTGGCGCCGTCTAATTCAGGCCGGGGTTGTTCTTCATCAGCGCCTCGCCATCGACTTGCAAATCTGCGCCACAGTCTGCGCAGGCGCGTGCGCAGCAGTCGCAGTCGCGGTGAGCGTAGGCGCCGCCGTCGGCTTCGGCAGAGGGAGGAGAATCGGATTCGGACTCGGATTCGCACTGGGATTCGCTGAAGGCGCGGTGAGCTCATCAGGCGGCTCATTTGCATAGCAGGAACTCCTGGGAATTCTAAGTCGCTGCTGAGGTTACGCCTCTAAACGAGTCATTTGGAGAATGGGGATTGTCCCATGGCCAAATTATAAATGGTGAGAACAATAATTTTGACTGGAAAGAGTAGGATTGATTTAAACATTTGCATTTCTTTTCCGTAGTACGCTACCTAATCTCTAGCAATTGTAATCTCTTTTAATAGAAATGATCTCTTGACTTTAGGTCTCAAGTCGAAATGTCGGAAAGAAATGGACTCAGCGTTAAGATTGTAGTGAATGTTTGAGGAGAATGCCACGCCCACTCAGAAATTTCAACTTATCTTTGGCATAGCGATAGAAATTGCATAAAAACAAAATATTAAAAATTTTCAAAAGTTTAAGCGGACATTAATTTGCATTCATCTAAATGACTGGATTAGTTCTCCCGATTAAGAATATTTTTGTAATTTTATTTTTATTTATTTATTATAATAGATAGAGTAGTTTACAAAACTAGTCTAACTTAATTATTATAGTGCTGGTTGCAGGGCCTATGGCTATGTTGGCTGATATTTGCATTTTATCTTAATCTTAATCATATTGGGTAATGAGCTAAATTATTTATGTGTTTATTATGTACATTTGTATTTTGTTTTTTAGATTTTATGGTATAATTCTGTTTTTTGAGAAAGAGTAGGATTTTTTGTATGCTATCTGGGTCGGGGGATTTTATAATTTACAGGAAACGATTCCCTCTACCTGTTCAATAAGTCTAATACCCGTTTACTTTACGAGTACGGGGCATTAAACCATTATTAGATTATTATTACCAGGGAGGAAATTCTCTGGTTCAGTTTTGTGGCTCTCCAGATTTGAAATGCCTTTCACAAAATCTGTTCTGTTGTTTTTATGGCCCGAAATGCACAAGAAATCAAGCTGCTCACCGCATTGCTGGCTGTTCTCGAGCATTCTCAACTATAAATGACCGAGGAGCTCCGCCCCAAGCAGGTCAAGTCCGCTTCGGAAAGCAGTTGGGGCACAAATGGCCAAAACAGAAGCCCGCCACTGACGCCGCCCGCATTGCCAAATAATCTGCGCCTGTGAATATTTGGATTTGAATTTGGATTTGAATTTTGATTGGGGTTTGGATTTGGGGGCTGCTCCACATATCGCCCGTAGCGCTTGAATGTGTGGTGTTTGCTTTGGCACTCGTCCCTCGACCCTATCGAAGTCAAAAATCGCATCGCATCGCATCGCATCAAAATTCACCCGACTTGCGGAGGCTATCGGCGCTTTTGGCGGACGCACTCCGCCTGCCAAGTGGGTGAGGCTCCGATCGATGATGGGGGCGCGAGTTGACCACGTATCTAGCGTATCTGCGTGGAAATCCAATTTCGGTTTCAGGTCGTGTCTAACTGGAAGATATTGGCGGCAGATACGATGTCGAACCGATCGCCGCAGGAAATCCGTGCCTGCAGCCGCGTCATGTAATCCACGCCGGTTGGGTAAACATTTCTGCGAGGGCGCATAAATTGTGGCCACAGGTGATTGGCAGTTGTGGGCCAGCAGGAGGACCCAGCTGATAACACGTACCAAATGCACTCATCCGTATTGGCTTAGTAGCACGCATATGCAAATCCATCGGAAGTTCGAATGTTAACTCGAAAGTACAGCTGGAAAGTTGGATTCTATTTATGATTAGATTAGGTTCAAACGTGACCTGCATTTCTGATGAACAAGTTTTACTTTTGCATCAGCCTCTGTGCTCAAATCCTTTCCAAAACTAAACCACTCTTTCTTCCGCTAATTCACCTATCCACTTAACACATGCAATCTTTATAGCTCCGCAACTGCTTTAGGTTTTCGTTGAAGCGCACAATTCACTTAACAGTTTCACAGATTTAACTAACAAAAATGACTAATTTGCAAAAATGCATTACCACATACAGTTGGCTGTGGATGTCACAGTCTCAGGTTATCAAAGAATCGCATTCGGTAAATCCTATCTTTGCGCACATCAATCTTTCTTGAAGCGCGTTAGAATGACTTATGGCCACATATCTCATATCAATCTTGCCCGCCTTTATCACAAGCAATTTGTCCACTCATGTTCGCCCGATCGACTGAACAGCCGCTCATGTTCCGCCGTCCAATTAGACGGCCACTTCGTTTGGCCATATCTGCATAACGACGAGCACTTGGCGTGTTTTACATCATGTTGGTGCCGAGTGAGCCATTGAGTCCGCCTGTGCGTCACCCTCTCGATGGAGGCTGAGTCTGGTGGCCAGCTGCTCCATCTGGCCTAATAGATCCTATTGCACGGCGAAAAAGTTTCCCCAGTTCGCAGTGGAGCTGTGTTGCTGATATTGCAACTATTCCGCATGTGAAGTCTGGAAAAGATTTGGTTATTATAGTAACGATTTATGGATTAAGTAATATTCCAGTAATATTCCTTTTGGCTGAAGTGGAATAGTAGTTCCTCTTCCATCTCTGCCGCCACATCCTCGCTCTAATTTCTTTCTGTACACTTTCGGGAGCTGTGGTGGTCCGAGTGGTCCACATTCGCAGAAGTCAAAACTCGCCCAACAGGAAGTATTTGCATGTGCAGATCCCGGGATCCCGATCCAAGCCAAGCCAAACCTAACCGATTCCGAGAGCGCGTTCGCAGAAAGCGAAAGTAATCATCCACCGCAGCGGCCACCGGGTGGATTATTGTTTGGTTTTGCCCACGGGTTAACCATGCCACGCATGGTTAGAAGGGGCGCGGGGCGGCCGGGGGGCGTGGCGTGGAAGCCACGGCATATTTATCGCTCAGACAAATATCCATTATGCAATTTGGCATGGCTAAAACGAGCAATTTGCCGCAAATGCAATAACATCCCGCCGAAAGGGGTGGGGAAAGTCGGTGGTGCGGCGCTTTGGTGGCTCTGTAGCTCGGTGGCTCGGTGGCTCGGTGGGGCAGGATGGCAGTGGTGCGCCCTCGAACGCAGCAAAAGCACACTGGCCTACATATGCACAGAAAAGCCGAGTGAGTGAAAGAGAAAATCAGCAATTGATACTAATAGTTTAACCTGTTGTAGCCCATTTGGCAACGAGTTGCATATTATGGCTCTGTTCACTTGGTACTACAAAGAAATACCATCTTATGGGTCTTTAGTAGCACCACTACTTTAATGTAAAATATTTATAAAATTCTCAAGGTATTGTAAAGAGTGTTAGGTGCTATTATTTCTTACCCCAAGTTGAAAACACTTTCTTGCTTAAGCTGTGAGCTCTGAAAAGAAGCTCCCTGTTCGGCCTTAAATGGGTTAAGCCAGCCGCAAATTGAAGCTCTTGACAGTTGAGTTCACAACACAGCACAGCTGAGCAGCAACATGCAACATGCAACAACCAGTTGCAACAGCCGCTGACGTGGCTAGCGTTATGTCAGGGGCAATGTAGAATGGGCAAAAACAATACGAGTCCACACAATCAAAATCGAATTTCTTCAAAATCGTGTGATGCATTTCTTGATTAGCGCCACAACTACTGTTACGGTTAAGTAATTGCCCGAAATGCGTTTTATTGCAAATTTACGGCGTACGTGTTTCGTGCTCCAAGTGTCGCACTGCTTGTTTCGCGGGGGATACATCCAGATATCCAAGAGTGGACTCCTGTAGCTCCAGCGCTGACCCACATTAATTGGCACCAGCGACGACAGTTACCACAGAAGACAGTCAAGGTCGATTGGTGGAGATGTCTTCCAGCCGATATGGAAGGGCCAAGAAATTTGGATTAGCGTGACAACTTGGTTTTGTCTCCGGTCGCACGTTCACTTTTTGCGGCGGTCCGCGGAAGGCCGCTAAGTGATCCACTCGTACATATGTGCTACTTGGTCATTCACTTGGAATGATTTTAGCCCCACTCCGCGCTGCGCTGCGCTGCGATTATGATTATGAAATGAACGTAATTTGCCCCGTATTACACAAAGCCCCGCCAAGTCAAAGTTCGATCGTCTGCCTTTGTGGACAACAGCTCGCAGTCCCCCCTCCCCTGCCCCTTCCACCATCCAGAGGGTCTTAACCCCTCGTAAACAGAAGTCAACGGCGGATAATACAAATCACACACCACTGCACCATGTTGGCCATGTTAACAGTCGTTCGTCCACTGTTATGCTTATTGTCGCTTGGCCGTTGAGTTTGCTGCTGCTGCTGCTGCTGCCTCTGCTGCGTCTGCTGCTGCTGCTGCCGCTGTTGTTGCTGCACCAACGTCACGTCTTTCTTGTGCAGCGCAGTCGCCTCGTAGCAACAACAAAAGCGCTGCTGGCGCCGGGTATAAAACGGATGAGTCGCAGCCTGTGGTTATCAGTCACCACCTGACAGTGCTCCGGTTTTCGTATCTCCTTCTTGAGTGCAGCAGAGCTCAGCCCAGCAACCATGTCCGCCCTGAAAGTATTCGTAAGTGCGAAGGATACGGGTTACGGGTTACGGGTCGAGAAAGTGAAAAGGATTAACTTGTGCGGACTATCGTGAATGAAAGCCATTGCCCAATGCAACACTACCCACTTACGTAGAACTGAAATCAATGACCGCCGTGCTGGAAATATGCCATCAATAGTTATGAAGCCTAAAGGAAATCATTTGGAAACTAGTATTAACTAGTAAAGATCGTTTAATGGCTTCAAAAGTTGTTAAATGTAGTATAGTTATTATCTCGAATGGGTTTTCAAGAAGTTACAACTTCAAATATTTCAGAGAAATACACATTCGCAAAAAATATGGCCTAACATGTTATGGAAATATAATCATCCCACTCTATAAAAAAGAGCCTCCCTAGAGCGCCGGGAAATTCGGCATACACTTTTAGCTGCATTTCAGGAGCGGTTCCTAACTTGCGCCAAACCAGCACTAATCACACTGATTATTTAGCTATTTGAATTCGAATTATTCAGTGTACTAACCACTTCCTCATCCCCTTTCAGATCTTCGTTGCCCTCTTCGCCGCGGCCTACTGCGCCCCCAGTCCCGGCTTCTTTGGCAAACAGTGAGTATCTCCGGCGATCTGCGCCTGAACTGATCCATAAATAACCCGAGCGAATCGATAAAAATACCTATTTCCCGCTTTATGCTAAACTAACGAGCGGTCGCATGGGTTTTTAAACGTGGGTCTATGAAATATGTGTACGATTGCGATCGAATTGAGCAATCAAAACGCTTGTAGCACTTAGAGCACTCGCTCCAGCCCCCGATCGCAGTCTCCAAGTCCAAGTCTCCATGTCGTGCACACCGCTGGCTACCATTGAACTTAGCCGATCTTGGCTTGGTTCGCGGCTCAGGAATTTCTCAGGCTGCGGCTGGCATTTAATTCAGCGTAATGCGCGCATAATTGTGCGAATCAATTGCCAGTTGCCAATTGCCAATGGCCAATAGCCATGTCTGCCAAGACGCAGGGTTCAAGCAACTGATTAGCTAACATGCTGGCAATCTAACCGATTTCACTTTCGATCCGCAGCGAGCACCACACGATCCACGTGCCCTACAAGGTGCACACGGTGCACCACCACCACGTCCAGAAGGTCCATGTGCCGGTGGTGAAGCACGTGCCGGTGCCCATCTACAAGGAGGTGCCCGTGCACCACGTCCACCACGAGGAGATCCCCGTGCCGGTGCACCACGTCCACCACGAGGAGATCCCGGTGCACCACGTCTTCGAGGACCACCACGACCACCACGGCTGGAGCTCCCACCACGGACACGGCTGGCTGTAAGCCCGCTGGCCTGCTTCTCTGCACACCCACCCACTCAGCCTGTCCCATCCCAAGCAGCCTGTAAATACTGTACAATGCTAAGTTAATGAATGTAAATAAACCACAATTCGACTGTACACAGAACTTCCTGACGCATTTATGGCGGGATTCATTATGGCTCGGGTTCAAACAAGTACTCTAATATGTAATTCTTTACGGGATTAAAATAACGAATTAGCTTAGGCTAGGACAGCATGTTAGAAAACCAGCTTTTGAAGACCGGCGACTGCTTATCTTATTTCAATATTTTGAAATAAGCAAGGTGCTCTTTTTCAAGGTATTTTTGTTTTCATTGTCAGAACTTTTACACTGTACAAAAACATAGCCGTATCGGAAACATAGCAATTAGCCCAAGTAGACATTACCCCACTGGAACCATGATATACCTACAGAGCTGCTGCTGCTTCGTGGATCTGCGGATCGGTACCATGGCAATCGGGATTCTGCACATCATAGCGGATATCCTCGCAGGCACCTTTGTAGCCCTTTACGGGGAGTCGGGTAAGTTCCGCCGGATACCTCAGAGCATCGATTAGATCCTGTCGCCCATAGGCATTCCCGATTTGGGTCACACCCTCTTCCTCATCTTCGTCATGCTGCACATCCTGAGCTGCGTGTTCCTGATCATCGGCTGCTTACGGGTGAGATGGCCGTACTCTTCATTAGTCTTAATTATAATGCTCTTGGTTTGCTCTAGTTGAGGAGCAGCTGGATGCTCTTCTATATAATAATGACCATGATCATGGCCCTTGCCATGATCATATTGATAGTATCCGACGTCATACTCGTCGTTTGGTTCTGGGTAATGATCACATATGCTTTAATGTTCTGTAAGTAGCTGCGTATCTCTGAGATACCACAATCCTTGACTCTTTCCGCATGCTTCAGTTATATGCCTCTATTTCTGGCTGGTCGCATACTCTTTTTACGCCGCCTTAGGAGGCCCTCTGTTCATCTGACTGTGATCCTCTGCCAAGAAGCTCTGGAAATAAATTGTATTTGTATTATAAGTGGCCTCTGAACATGAATATAATCACCACATCTCTTTTACGCCACCTTACAGCCTTCGGTTGAGTCGTTTTGGGTTCCAAGAATTCAAATACTCCCTTTCATGCAGTAAATGTTGTGTAATCACTTCGCATAACATTGTTTGTAAAATTACTTTCATGAGTTGCATTTTGTACCACTCTGCCAAAACAGCGCCGAAAATGGGGCAATGCCACATTGATTATAAATAAATAATTGGCCGGGAATGTGATAGGATCCATTAGGTAATCCCACTGCAAGACTGTAATTTGCAGTTGCACTTGACCTTGGGCTGGTCTCCCAAAGGCGGCAATTAAGCCGAAGTTTTGCAAGAACGACTTTCACAAAGCACTCACTTGACCAGCTCCGACTGAGGTCGACTGCCAGTCCGACTCCGCTCCGCTCCCTTCCGATCCCACGAACCCGATCTGGTCCGGTCCGGCCGCTCCGCTCCTTGCCCACGCAGCGCTGTGAGTCAGGGGCGTGGCAGGGCACATTCTCGAGCCATGGGAGCGCCGGTCCCTAGTTCCACACGCCTTTCAGCTAGAACTGGTCCTAGGGCAATGGAAAAGTTTGGTTAATATTACACGCTCAGGCGGCTTTTACTCTTAGGAATTCTTATCTTATCTTTAACGTAGGAACTCGGATCTTTCCCTTGAGTCAGTACAGTTTAAGGAGCAGGATCCACCGCGTAAGACAAGTTCAATGGATCGGGATCTTAAGGGGCTCCTGCATTCCTTCTATCAGCGCACTTGACTGAATGAATTATATTCATCTTAAATAATAAAGGAAGTACGAGTATATCTTGCATCTTTTGACTCCGTTCAATCAATCTCTCTTTTTTATCTTAAGAGTTCTACGACCCAACTAACAATTAAACAATTACTATAGGAAGCTGTGCATAGAACGAGGTGCAGACCCCCACAGAAAGCAGCTTTTCTTTGACCAACATTTTGCATTTATTTCGGCGCCAACAACGAAGAATTTCAGATTAATGTCCACTAATTGAGAACTGGGAAAGGCGAAGCGTTAGAGGAAGCTGCGGCTGGCCGCCAGTGAGCCGCCCTAGTTGCAGTACGGGAAGTTGGGGCACTGGTGCGGCGAGACTCCGGCGGGATACAGGCGCTCCGTCCAGCCTGGCAGAGGAGGAGCAGCCACGGGGGCACCAGCGTGTCCGGCGTTCACGTCGCAGTAGGGATAGTTGGGGCAGGTCTGCGGGTTGACGCCAGCCGGGTACTTGTCGCCACCGGGGGCGGCAGCAGGCGCCGCGTTCCACGAGGGCTGTGGCTGCCACTGGGGCTGCGGCTGGGGGTTCCACTGGGGCTGCGGCTGCTGCCACTGCGGCTGCGGCTGGGGGTTCCACTGCGGCTGCGGCTGGGCGTTCCACTGTGGCTGCGGGGCACCCCACTGTGGCTGGGGATTGTGCAGGCGCGCATTATCACAGATGGGGAAGTTGGGGCAGTCCTGCGGATTCACGCCAGCCGGATACTGGGCAGCAGGTTGGTGCTGGGGCTTGGCCACCGCCAGAGCCACGAAGGTAGCGAAAAGCTGTGCGAAGAGGTGCATTCGTAGGTGTAAATTATCATATCAAAGACTTCGAGAATTCAAAAATGAAATCAAAAAGTGTATCAGCTTCAAATAAAACGTTTCAGATACGGATTCTAGCTTCAGTTTAACTGGAGTTAAAGGAACTATCCTTGCGCGAAGAGACTCGGCACTTACCAGCTTGCAGAACATGTTGGCTATGGTGAGTGGTGGGTGGTGGTTGTGGAGCTGGAGTTGGTTCTGGTGCGGGGCTTATGGTAATCCTTTGCCGAATTGGACTATGAAGTCGTAGCTCAAACTTCCAATTGGGTTCCTGGTCGGCGCTGCACTGCTGCTGCCGAGCCCGGCCATCAAGCTTATATAGCGGTGCTGGCTAGAACCGACTCTTGGCCGGGTCGCAATCTCAGCCAGAGTCTCTCGGCCAGACTCGGTTTCACTTTCATTACTGCGGCTGCTGTGCTTTGCTGTTGCTTTTGCCGCTGCTGCTGCTGCTGCTGCTGCTGCTGCTGCTGCAGTTGCTTTGCTGTGCTTTACTTTTGCTCTTGTTTTTGTAGTTGACTGATCTCGCGCATATTTTACTTGATTGGCCCAACAGATTATTATGAGTCTTTGTTGTGGAGCGCGGACAAATAAATCGAACGGGGCCGACGGACAGGCATATGGACGGATACACAGGCACACATATCTACGGGTAATATGCTTAAACACCCAACTATGCAAACACATACGAGTGCGCGCTCATATCGAGTTACCGACATGCCGTCATTAGCAATGAACTAAGCCCCCAACTTGCATTTCGGCCAAAAAGAAATCTCCAGGCTGGGCTTGTGCGGGCACTTTGGACAAAGTCGCGTTGGCGTTTGCCCAATTTTCGATTCGCATTTGCCAGCGGATCAGTTCGTGAATCACTCCGCTCCGATTCGCATTTGGACTTGGATTCGGATCGTGTAAGAGGCACAGGTCGCCACCGCCATCGGTCTGCCATTGGTTCCACCATCGCCTTGGCATGCCACTGCCACATGTCGCCCGATCTTGGTCTGCCCGGAAGGCAGCGGTGGTCCGCGTCATTGCAAACGGGTTTCGGTGCAGCGAACTTGCACTAGATCTCAATGCACAGCATTCGAGAGGCGGGGTCGAACCGAAGTTCACTTCTAGGTTCTAGGGCTGCAGCATAGGCATCCAAAAATCTGGGTTTCTCAACAATTAAATGGCTCCTTTCTGTTGCAGGATGTGTTCTTGTAGTTTTACATTGCATATAAAATCCTGCTTAGACTTAAAATCCTGTCTGATAAATCTTTCGTACATTCATAGTAGATATATTAGCATCTATAACACAAATTTAGAATATCTTATAGTATGTACATTAATTTGCCCATTGATATATGTGTACCTAAAGTAATCCATGTTGCTTTTAGACCAAACAATTAAGGAAATTAATTTAATTTTTAATGAGAAAATACGCGCTCTAATCGGAAACACTTCGAACATTTCCACGCATTGCAGCCCTAGTTTCGGACTTATCCGCTGGCAGTTCTATTTCCGATACCCGTTGTGGGTAGACGGCCGTTCACCCATTCGCACCACGCGGAGCCAGTGAAACTGAGCCCGAGACCGCCTTACGCACCAGCGATCGCCGACTTCCTGGCCGACGGGCTGCGTTGGGAAATTCAATTACGCGGAAAAAAGCGAAAATAGCGAAAATCGCACTGCCACACAAATTATGAGCTAATCAGGCAGCGCCCAGTGCCCGCGGGTCGGCACACGACCATCGAACGGACCGGCATCCATGGGGCCACATGAACATGTTATATTGGGGGACAGACGTGCCCAATTGTTGGCAACGGTGTAACAGATTTAGTTTAATTCTTATAATTTGTGTTTGCCGCCAGCCATTGGCAGGAATTTGCGCGGGCGCGGCACCGTCCAATCCACACAATCCACTGCCTGCCCCTCCCTGCCGAGCACCACTGCACAGGGAGAAATGCAGAGTATGTTTTCGGAGTTTACATGCTCTGAAAAAGTCCAAAGAATTTAGTGCCCGCAATACATTTTACAAATCACAACACTTACCCATTACTCCAATGTGCTTCTTATGGCCAACAAATCTAACTATCAACTAAAAGGCAATAAATGTGACAATTTAAAATGATGATTAACTCACTAAAGGTGGTCAAAAATGTAGATATAAGGCATACAGTTTGTTAATTCTACAAATGATTGACAAGTGAAGCATTTAAATTTAACGTTTAATGACGAGACTAGGGATAAATTTAAGCGAAACTAAGAACTAAGTAAATATTAATATGTCGTGATTTTTTCGCGTGTAGGTGGGCGCTGTTGGTGCTGGTGTTGGCCGGCTAATGCGTTATGTTACGTTGCTGCAGCGCCAGATTGCCAGGCGGCCAGGCGAGCAGGCCAGCCAGCCGATCGATCTCGTTAGCCTTGATCAATGGCCCGGAAAAACAGAATAAAGCTAAATAAAAGCCAGCGAAATTGAAATTGTTGACCGTTCGCATAATGCAGTGTTAGTCTGGAGTCGCAGAGTCAGGCGCATGTGTGTGTTCTCGCGCTTGTAAGTAAGTATCGCTGCTGGCCAAGTGATATCGCCAGCGATGTCGGTTGTCGGGTTCGCCTTTTTTGTCACACGCTGCGGCGTGCTTTAAATTATTATGCCATTAGTTGTCGCCTTATTTTGTCTAGATTTTAATTATCAATTTCCTTCTATGCTGACAGTTGTGGGAGTGCTGCCGCCCACACTTCGGGCGACTAGGTGGCTGACCCAAAGAAAGTGCGGGCTACTCGAAGATACATGTATTCCATTCAATGTATTTGTTCTTCGACAATAAATTCATGATAACAGATGATTCTTTTTCAAATTTGCTTACCAATAGAAAATTAAATAAGTAAGCTAAAAAGCAAATAATCAAAGAATTTTGCTTGACTGTCGCCTAGCAGGCGATATGCCCTCAGGAGCTGGCAGCCACCTCAGCTGTGCTGACGTCGGCGGCTTCCGATCCAGTCTCGATTGTCTCAGTCTCCATTGCCAAGTCTTCCGTTTGGGCGGTGGCATCCATATCAGCGTCACCAGATGGCACATTTTGAAGCAGGGCTCTTCGCACAGATGGCTCCTTATCTAAAAACGAAATGAGTACTTTAGTTGTTCTTGTTGTGATAATATGGGAAGACTATTTTCAAATTACAAGTAGAAGCTAATTTCGTCATTACTATCCAGTTTAACGCCAGTTATTTGCTATGCATTATAACCGAGATAACCGATAAACGAACCTAACTTTTACAAGTAACAATAATTAGTGGGCTTCCACTGAAACTTAGTGACAAGAATTCTAATAATATGACTATACTGCGGGTCTCCCCTTCAATTGAATATATATACCAGAGGCATCATCGGATGATTCACTTTCTGAGCTGTCGTTTCGCTTCGTTGCGTTATCCGAAGGTGCCTCCAGGGAGAGCCGGGGAGCTACGGGTCGCTTCTTCCTTGCCGGGTTAAGTACATTGCAGAAGGCACACCTGAAGGTAGTGTACTCGTACTCCTCCTTGGGCAGCATTCCTGTAAAGGAGGCATATTCGTTTAACAATATACATGCACGTAATTCGATAGATTAATCTATTCGTAAATAACATTAGAAAGGTTATTTATATATGTGCAGCTTAATGCTGCCAAATATAAAAAGTTTCAAGTAAACATATAAAACATTGAATCTTTAAATTTAATAAAGATTGCCTTTAAATTAAGCAGTTTGTTTGTGGATCAAACATTTGTAACGCTAGTGAAATGAAAGCGAAAACATAACCGGTTTCTCAAATACAAAATTCAATGTTTCTGTGCCTAATTCCAGAAGTTATCCTTTAGCAATCATAACCCACCGTTGTGGGCGTGGCACGCCTTGCAGATCATGCCGAATCGATCCTTTGGACTGTCACCCACGATGAAGTCCACAATACGATCTAGGGCACTTCGTGACCGATCGTCCACGATGGGAAAAGGCGATCGTCGGCGCAATTCTTGAACGGCGCGCAACTGCGGCGAAGCTGACGTCATCGGTACCAGTGACTGTGTGCTGATGACGCTGCTGTTCAGCGAACTGTTCTGGTTATTGTTGTTGTTGCGGTATACACTGGTGTATGGAGCCAGCACTCGCTGCTGCTGTCCTCCGGCTGCTGAAGTACGGGCGGCGGCTGCGGCGGGCAGTGGAGATCGCTCAATTTGCGGTCGGCTCGGCGTTGAGCCGGTCTGCACACCGCTGATCCGGAGCTGCTTCTTGTCGCCAAAACGCTCCAGGAGATTCACTGCCACCTGGGGAATACAACACAGTTTTAAGTATCTTAACAGAAAGCATTGGCCTAACCAGCAATGCAAAGACATGCGAGAACTTTGATGAAAGTCGATAAATAATGTATGCGTTCTAGTCTGATTTGCATTTATATCAGCTATATATTGGATCCCATTTATAACAGCTGTGCTGTTGCAGACTAAAAGTTGTACACAACATATCTAAGCCAATAAGATATTCTAAACTCTCAAATGGGTCATATTTTAAATAGGGGAAGCCCACCTTGTAGGTCTCTTTGTCCATGACCTGCTCCAATATCTTGCGCTTGTCTTCCTTCAGACGGCTCAGCTTATCGCCATTTTTGTTGAGCTTGCGCTGGAAGTACCACGTAAACAGCCGCCGCAGAAAGATGATGCTAGAGCCCGGCAGAGATCAAGGTCAGTCAGGAACCGGATTTAGAGCAAATCAGATGGCAGCACTCACACAATGGGGAAGAGCAGCAGCGGCACCAAGTACATGAAGCACTCCTGCATTGTCGGCGGGAAGTAGAAGTACCACCAGAGTCCGAAGCCCACGATATATGCTCCGATGGTGAAGCCCACGAAGTTCGTCACGAACCGCCGCTTCCGCTCCTCGGTGTTGATCACGTACTTCTCCAACGCCTGGATCTGCGTCTGCAGCCCCTCCAACACCGCCTCCGTGGACTTTTCCTTCTATAATTAGATTCGCGGATTCACGACACATATTTTTTGGGGGTCTTAGTATATTCGCTGTTTTGCAATCGGGCTCCCACTGAAGTTAGGCCATCGCAAATACGCACCCGCAGCTTGGACAGCACGTATCCCATTATGTATTCTCAGGTATTTAACTAGAAACGAACAAACTTAGACATTTACTTGGATATTTGCTATTTAACCGCCAGCCTGCCCAGAAATTAGTTGTCGCCCAGTGTGACCGTGCCTGTACCTTTCCAATACACCGGGGTTACCCACCAAAAATACTGAAATACCAACGGCACAGTACGAGTGCTATTCCGGACACAAACCGCGAGAGAATGTCCCGGTGAAAATGCCCGCCTGGTTCAAAGCCCAAAATTGAAACCTTACATTATTCTTATAGGAACCCAATTTCAACAATCGACTATATTCATTATTGCATATGAGATACTGAAGGTGTACAAAAATAAATTTTCAAACTATTATGGCTTAGAGCTAGGTAGTATACGTCTCGTAATTAAAAATGGAAATTCTCGTACATTTTAAATCTTACTCATATTCATGCTTGCAGTTGAAAATTACGATCTGCAGTTCCGACTATTCACTTATACTGCAATCAACTTGTTACCTCTTTTTACAAGCTGTTGCTAAAATATTTATTCGTTTTAAATCATAGATCTTCACAGGTAAGTTTAATAAACTTTCAAGTATTTAATTTCATTTGAAAATATTGCACTATCGGTTTATTTTCTGCTGTGTAGAGCATGGTATTTAACCACCGCCGAGAGATGGCCACACTGGCCCTGGCGCCCGCCGCCGGTTTATTTGAAGGTTCCCGCCTCGGTCACACTGCAGTTCGGATTTGCCGGTTGTTTGGATCGCAGGTCGAATCGGAAAGCCAACAGAGTCGGTTCGGTAAAGCGCCAGTCGCGTCGCGAGTGCGCTAAGGAAACCAAGAGAATTCAAAGACCTGCGTGATAGGTGGTGTCCGCCCAGTGAAGCACAGCCATGATGCCGCTGCAGGAGTCGCCGTCGCCCAGTTGGCAGCTGGAGGACTACGCGTTCTTCCGCAAGTGCGGGGAAATCACCGTCTCGCCGGACGTGCAGAGTTTCGGGTTCAACTGCGCCTTCTGCCCGGCCATCTGCCTGCAGTTCTCCGTGTTCATGGACCACATCCGGGTGCAGCACAAGCAGGACGTGAGCCGGCGCTACGAGACCGAGGAGGAGAGGAGTCCGCAAACCGATCTGGTCATCATGGAGCTTGACTGCCCCGAGATATATCCCTCGGAGGCGCCTAGGAAGTACAGCTGGGAGGCCGACATGGACATCCAGCTAATGAGCCTCGTCCCGCCGCCTCCCGCAGTGCATATGCCATCTCCAACACCACCACCCCCACCACCTGAAACAGCCGAAACACCAGAAATAGATTTGGTCTATGTGGTTGAAAATCCATTGCCACCCTCGCCGCCGCCCTCCGCCGACATTTCGGGCGACGAGCTGCCGGGGAACAGTCCGCAGTCCTTCGACCTGGATCCCTTTGCCGTGCTGCACGAGGTGGTAACGTTGACTCCGCCCACTCCCATTGCTCCACCGCCCGGCCCGACCCCGACGAGAACTTCCACTCCGGCCCCACTGCCGCGGTACGAGACACGACGCGTGGTAAGTTTAATCACCGCCGCCCATTCACATTCCCTGCCACAGTGAACGCACGCTAACGGAAAGCGATTACAGACATGTTCATATCGTGTTCATTTCTGAAAGCTTGTATGTACATATGTTTCTCTGTCGATTGCTATTTTATTAGACAATTCTTTACAATACTTTATTAGGGGCACAATCCAAAAAACATCTTGATTGCAATTTTTAAAATTTTTATTTGTTTTTCGAAGAAATGAAATTATATATATGCGCTGGTATTTAAAAAATTGTCTCACTCGATGACAATAGATTCGTTAATGGTGCTTCTTCTTACGCCATGGACTTTATGAATTTTTTTTTCCGATAAGTTGCCCTTAGCGGTACTTCACTGTCCGTGGCTTTTGCTTACCCTTTTTTATGCGATTTTGTAATGCAAAACGGCTTTCCGTTGCTGTCAGAAGGGCAGGGGCGGGTTGGCAGGGGGTGGTGGCCGCAGCTAGTTCCGGAAAAGGTTCTCCTGGTCACTTGACCTTCAAAATAACGGCGCAATGGCACACAACGCGAAATATTGAGTAAAGTGTGCCGCGCATTTTGCGCGCTCATGCTTCTCTTCGTTCTCTTCTTCCCCTTTTTAAGTCCCGTTTGCCCTCCGTGGACTTTTTTACATGAACACACATACATATTTATTTATTTTGGATGGGCTGGTTTGTCAATTCGCCCGTCCGTCCGCTTGTCAGTCCGTCAGTTTTCCTGCCATTTTCATTGTTTTTTTCCGAAGCGACGCAGGTTTTCAGCTTTTTCTTCAGGTTTTCACTTCTGTTTTGTTCCACTTTTTGTGGACATGGAAATGTCTGGGTCGGAAGAAAAACAACCATATCTTTTGTTGTATATTCAAAGCGATTTATGTGCTAAAAAAAATACACATATGTACGGCAATGGGGCCGAAAAACACTCGATATTTGGGACACAAACGTTCGTTGTTTTGGAAAACAGCCCGTCATATTTTCTTTGTTTGGTGGAGGCCTTTGCTCCGCGGCCGATTTTTAAAAATAAAAGCCTATTAAATGGTAATTAAAATGGTTATTTATGTCAACGCGACAGATGCGAAACTGGTTGATGGTTTCTCATATAATGTCATGCAAATATCGCTCCCAGGATCTCTGAAAACTCTGATCTTCATGCTATTCCTTCTTCCCAAATTGTACGGTAGAGTCCACTTGTCTTTGAAATATTACTTCGAAGTGCCTGTGACAGGCACTTTAGACCGCACTTACGTACTAAGATGATCGGTAACATCAATGAGGTGGTAATCAGCCTTAGAACGTCAGCACAGAGATGGAAATCTTCTGGTTCTCCAATATTTTGACGTGACGTGGTTGCATTAGCTTTCTTATGGCCAAAAATAGGACGGATTCGTTGACGCAATATAAACGGCATCAATAATGTGTTCACACACAAGCTAATTTCACGATAATTAAGGGAAAATAGTTCGAATAAATACGTATGTGCGTATGAGTAATTTGGATGCATTTGTTGTCAGATAAAGGGCGAGCAAATAACGGTTCTTAGAATGTGGGCTTTTACTATCTGATATCTGGCCATCTGATATCCGGGGCGTTGAGCTTTGTCTCGGAAATAGAAATTGAGGCGCTGATAAGGCTGATTTCTATTTGCCCGCTGGCGGGGTACACGATACTAGCAATAGAAATTATTGGTGATTCCGATGGTTTTCGGTTTGGCCATTATCAGCATTGGGCGAGCTTGTCGGCCGACATGGGCTTTATCTAGACCCCAAAGAGGTAAACAAATAGGGAATATTATCTATGCTTCGATTTGGTGAGCAAGCGTTCGTGGCCACAGTGGGTCGCAGTTAATTTACTAAATCGAAACTCTAGCAATTGCTTTGGTTCCCTGTTCAAGCCACTTGAGACGTAGCCTATTATGATTTATATCCACACTCGAATCGATGACGCTGTTTGGCGCTGCTCTCGCCACTTTAGGCTATTGAAGATACGTCCGATCGATCGATCGCTCGATTGATCGTGGAAGTCGTCGCCCCAACCAGACAACCCAATCAGTCCGTCCAACTCACCCGGCCAACTCAGCGCACGTATCGCTTATGGGGGTAATAAAGTAATTTTCGATTTTAGTAGATATTTGCCGGCTATTGAATGTGGCTTAGAGATAAGAAAGCGCGGCGGAACCTAGCTAAGTAGGTTTTAATGTTCATTTAAGCACTTATAAATTGGTATTTTTAGAGCACCTGCCATAAAAACCCACACCCCATAAATCATTGTCCACGTAGCAGTAGAAAACTACTTGTCGCTCGGTTATTTGGCTAGTATGGCTACCGAACAATGGCAGTTTACTTGCCGTTTGGGAGCAGGAAGGCACTTTCCCACAAAACCTATCAAATCTCTGAAGCTAGCACCAACGATTAGTTATTTGCTTTGGATCGCACCACTATCAGATCGCACCCCTATCAAAACCATCAGTGATCCATTAAATCAGAGCGGTGCACTGAGGAACCCTGCATTTTATCATCGCTCGTAATCTAATCTTGAGTCGTATCAATCCAGGTGATAATTTCATTCAGCATTTCAAAATCTTCGGGAATGTTCGATTTATACGTACGTTAATCACTCCCAAACAAAAATCGAGGACATGACAGTCAGTGCTTCGGTTTTTATCGGCCACATCCATGCCTATTAAGTAATTATCGAGTTTAACTAAACATTTCTGGAGAGGCGCTCGCTGAGGCCTTCCACCCACCAGCAAGTCAGTTCGATCGATCAGCTGAGGAGGTTTTACAGTCAGCCTAATTTAATTAATGCAGCCTTGTGACTGACTCGGACCGAAAAAGTTATTTGTTTAAAGTTTTACTGGGGCTAGCGCATTCTTAGACCTTTGTCAGAAATTGATTGCACCTAATGCCCCCGTATTATCTTCGAATCTGGCTTCGCTGTGTGCGCTTCCCGGTCGGTTCCTGGGTGTTCTCTATAGGGTTTCCCAGCGGTTCATTTTGCCCCATTTTCGGTGGGCTTCCATAAGGGCGCGGGCGAGTTTTATGCTCGGCCATAAAAGCAAACGAAACCCAGTCACGGGTTGCGTGAAATGAAAAAGCGAAATATTCTTCATAATTTATTAGCTCACGTTGCGGGCTTTATTGCATTTGAGACCCGTGTTCTCCCGGATTTGCCATGTCGCCGCTTGCTACCTTTGTTCGTTGTCACACGGCTTGCGGGTTATGATTTTATATAGCATACCAAAGTGGGTCTTTGGCGTGACCCCGAGCCTGCATGGAAAACAAGACGCTTTCCGAAAGCCCCTTTCGATCCATTAAAACCCTCCCTTGGGCCGCAAATCAAACAAACCTGCAATCAACCGTGGGCGATTGTGTGTGTCTGTGTTCGACAAGTGACACCATTTGGGGCGCAGGCCTTACAATGGTATTAAATGTTGTATTAACGGGCTTTCCCATGAATCTTTTATTTGCACACCCACCAGGTTCCAGCCGATATGTGCCCCACATTCCTCGTCTAATTAGGACTTGCCAAAGGGCGGCCCAGACGCGATAATCGCCATTTCGGAATGAAAATGTTTTCAAATGTTGAGTTTTCATTAATTGATTCGCAGCATCATCAAAGGAATTTTTGATTGGCGCAGCCCGCATATCTCTCATTTTCCTGGTGACAAATGCAATAAACAATAGCTTTTAATTGAGCAGCCCGATGACGCAGCTGCTCGCAGCCAGAATTGGTCGAATTCCCGACTTTGATATGAACCGCACTGCAAGTGTGGCTAATCGAAGAAGTTGGCAGCATGTGTGGCGTATTATGCAGCCCATCAAAAGATGACCTAATCCGCATGGCAGTTTGATGTCCATCTTGTTTGTATATTCGCAAATTAAATGGACAGTCTGCAATACTACTACTTTTTCAATAGCAACAGCAAGATTAATGGGAGTTTATTTATATACTTATCGATTCCAGGCGGGAAGAACAATTCCACAGATAGAGCTTTTTAATAGAGATAGAGCTTCAACTCATAGAAATCCATTCTGCGGTTACTTATCGATCCATGACTCCAACGCATGATCCTCCCGCTCTCTGGTTTGCCTCCATGGGCTCCACTTTCAAGAGTCTGACAGTTGTATCGAGTTTCGACCCCTTCGACAGAGCCAAATACTCGTATAAATAAACATGAAGGGGGAAGCACTGAACTAACTCAATAAGACCGCTCCGCGATCGGGTTTCAATATTCATCGAGAGAAGTAGAGGCGGGAACACTGCATCTACGGCGCTCTTGTTTATTGAATTTCTATGCAGTTTTGTTAACTGGATCAATTACTTCAATTGCGTGTTCGGTAAACACAACTTGTGACGCAGTCCACGGAGAATTCCGGACGGAGTGCGGCCAAGCAGATGGGCAAGGCTGCCGACCAGCCACACCCCACCAATCGTGGGTGTCTTGGGTGTCTCGGCCGTCCAGGATGTCCAGGGTGGGCTATGCCAACTCCCATGGTCAGCGGTTCGAAGCTGGCCGAGCCTTTGTTTGTCCCACTCTGCTCGCCAAGTTGGCCTTTTGTTGCTGCGATATTGGAAAAAGTAATGGAAAAACGCCAAAGTTGGACGGGGAATACCAGCTCTGGAATGCTCTGAGGAATTGCGTAACACGGTTAACCATTTTAATAAAATTATGGCCAACTCGACCACTCAAACCAACAAAACGTGCATACCCGCCGACTACCCTGGTCATTAGAATATCAGCAGAATAGATGGAAATAATGATATAAAACAGCTGTGCAGCCGTCGGCGCTATTCGATATGGACTAGAAGGAACGCATGTGGCTGTGCGGTGCAATGCAGCTCCGATATGGAAGTACTCCCGTTGCCAGGCAGTCAGCAACGTCAAGGATTGGCAGGGTCAGCAGGGAGCGGTGCTGGCCCTAATGGGTTTGCGCAGCTCACCTTTCCGCTGGGCGTCGAGTGGCTCGGGTCCTTGCCTCGAGTGGGTGTGACCCCAGTTGGAGCTCCAGTCGCTCGAAATGGAAATGTTTTCGCTCGCTTTGCCAGCGAGGCAAGGCGCAACTTCCATAACACCGTTTGAAATTGCATTTTTAATTGGTGCCAAGGCTTTCCCGGCTTTTCCTGTGCTTTCCCTTCTGTAATTTGCAGTTATTCAATTAGCCCAGTTAAGTGCTGTAAGCCTTTGTGGATTCGCGAAAGGTCAGGGCCCTCTCGTTTGACTGCTGACTGATTGGTGGTAGCTGTCCGGCGTAATGCCATCCCCTTATTGGCCGCCCTTTGGGCCATTAACCCTTTTTTCCATAGATTAATGGGGAATATTGATACACAGGCAGCTCTGCCTAAAGCAAACAAGTTCGGAACAAGTTAATAGATCAGTAATTTAGATCTAATTAAACGAGATACCTGTACCTCAATTATGTCACTGGCATATTTGTCGAATTCCGAGGGTCCATTAGTGAAACTCAATTAATAACAAATTTGCTACAAAATCCAATAACTCGTAATGCTTTCAGGCCGCATTTCACTTTATCTAGACCCATTAGCGTTATCGACTTTTGTAGGTGGTTGATTTTGGGTGGTTAGTACCAGCTGAAATATATTGACTGCCACACTAGCCGACAATTGTGGTGGTCACTGACGAATCGCCTCAGTTTCAAGACAATCAGGCGACAGCTTCGACTACCAATTATGGCCAAACAAAACACTTGAGTGAGACGGAATGAAATGCAATGCTGCGAATACCCTTTCCACGTCTGATTCTGCTTGCTAAGCTGTATTTATTGCTTATGCATGTGCCTCCATCGAATGGAAAGATTTCATATCAGTGACCAATTACTCAAAGACACATTTTGAATTTGTTTTAATCTGAAGATTAGCCAGCGGGGTATATTACGCGTCGTCTCTCTCCGCGGATTTCGTTTGCATTTATTTATTTAACATTTTGGAACCGGTTAGAACTGCGAATCGTATACGGGTGCCGTATGCAATGTTTGTCAGAACAAAACATTTGCATGTAAAAACGAACTTCGTTTCGGTTTTAATTTGGGTCTTGCGAATTCCTAATTAGGGCACTCTCATTCCGGGACCCAATCGGCAGCATTTTTGAGTTATATGGGGGTAGGTCGGGTTCCATTCCGGGAACTTAGCAGCAGCTACTCAAATATTTAAGGCATTACAGCGGGACTTTACAAATACAAATACAAATATATGTGTATTTATTACAGAACATAATTAGCTCTGGGATGCGTCATCTGTCAACAAATACTAATGGGATTTAAATGTACATAAATCCTATTAGCTCTTTGAATCTAAGTTGCTCTGTGGCTTGGGAAGTATTATGCAGTTTTTGAGTAAAACCCAATGCGATCCGTATACACCGACTTATCCAAACGTTGTGCACATGGCAAATCATAAATGAGTGGGCGAATCTGGAATCTGTTGCAAACGCGACATATGGGAGGAAAGTAGGGTAGTTTCTTGGGAAAACCACCGAATACCAAGTGGATACACACAAGCTAAAGTCAGAGAACGTTTTGTATGGGAATATGGAAGTCGGGCGAACATATGCAAGTGCGATAAGAACAATGACGACGACACAAAGGCCAATAGCCGCTGATATTTGAGAATATAGAATCTGTGCAGTATAAAGAACGCGGGAGGCGAAGTACAGACTTTCCCTTTTTGTTTACCAGCGCTGTTTGTGTACGATTCCCAGCGCCCCGATAAACCCGGGACCAGATCGAGTGGCTGCTCACGCTTATCTCACAGACAACCCACCAATGGCAACGTTACAAATTTATTTATTTATGCGAAATATTTATACTTCTCTGTGCAGGCACTGCAGCGCAAGCTCCGTCAGTCGCAAAACGAGATACCCAAAGATGGGGAGGTGGTCGTGGTCGCGGTCGCGGTGGAGGAGCACACTGGTACGCATGCCAGTGGGCAGCCGGAGAAGAGCGCTATGGAACTAACACCACCTGCCACGCCCCCCACCCCTTTGCCGCCCACTTCGCCCACGAGCAGCACCGCGAGCTGTGTGGACTTCCAATCGGTAAGTAGATCTCATTCGATCTTCACTCGATCGGTCTAATTCGATAAAAACATTCAAAGGTCACTTTCGCATAGGGGGTTTTGTTTAAAAGCTTAAATATAAAATTTATAAATATTAAACCTCCCGAAGCAATTAAAAATTTACCCAGAAATTCCAGTTGTATAAATGTTTTTACGAGTAAATTTAACAGTTGATTTGTGCGCTTTTAGACGTACATACTTCCCAAGAAAATAATCTTGAATAGCCAGAAATATTAAAAAATATGAATAATGTTGTGCTAGATTTATACAGCAAATACATAAATATTGTAATAGATGTAATCTTTTTGATTACTTCTAACTTTTTAGTTAAAAATTGTATACCTACTATGAAAACTGCGAACCCACAAGACAATTAATTAGCTGCAGTTTGATTGTATTCTATTGTTTCAATATCCTGATGTTCCTATAACATCCCATATTTAATAAAATCTGTATTTCTTCTCAGAAAAGTCGCAGGGAGCTGGAGCGAAATCACGAGTTCGTTGGCTGCCTGCTGAGGGAGTACGAGCGCCTGGAAAAGCTGTGGAACCCCGGGCACCCGGACTACAAGTACAATGCCAAGCGCAGTGCCTACGCGGAACTGGCCGGTCCACTGGCGGCCGTTTGCCACAGGCAGCTCTCCGGATCCGAGATCTTCGCTGTGTTGAAGGAGCTAAGGAGCAGATACCGCCGCGAGCTGAAAAAAGTTAACGCGCTCGGCGGAAAGTACAAGTCGCGGCTGTGGTACTTTGAGAGGATGCACTTCCTGCGGAGGGTCATTGAAAACAGGCGCGCGGAAAGGGAAGCCAAGGTAAGTGAAGAAGCGCTCTTTAAGCAGAGGAATTAATATTTAATCTGTTGCAGATCTCCAACGAGAGCACAGAGAGCGAAAAGTCGTGCGAAACGGACGCAGATTCCTGCGGCAAGTCGTCATTGTATCATGAGGTGCTGAGTTTCATCCTGAATGCCTTTAAGAGGCAGGAATGCCTGTGGAATCCGCAACACTACGACTATGCCAGCTGCTGTAAGAAGGAACTGTATCGCGACATCTCCGTCCAGTTGCGGGAGGAACTCAACTACGAGCTGAGCGGCGAGGAATGCTGCAACGAGATCCAAAAACTTAGGACACGCTACCGCAAGGAGCTGCGCATGGTTATTAAGCACAAGGGACTGTACCTGCCCAAGTTATGGTGTTACGATGAAATGGAGTTCCTGCAGCCTATTTTGCAGGAGCAGATCTTCAACAAGATCAGCAAGGTAATGGCTCGCGATGTACGACAGCTCTGTATTTGCTATTCTAAAGTTTTTATTTATAATTCAGAAAATCGGAGTGGTGGGAACCAATCAGAAGACTAAGTTCATCGATGCCAGCGCGATTCGTTTTGACAATTCTGAGAATCAACTGCAGTTCGTAGAGATCTACCACAACTACTCAGCTCTGTGGGATGTGGACCATCCCGACTTCCGATCGAATGCGTATCGTAGTCAGGCTTTGGGTCAAATGCTGGATGAGATAAACACCACCTTTCACACTTCCTACTCTGCGGAGCAGTTGGAAAAGACCTTGTTCAATCTGCGCAAAGACTTCTCGGCGCAGAAACGGAAGATACTTACGGAGTCTGAAGACTGCAGCAGCATTCCCTTGCTGCATGCCAAACTGGCAGAGTTCCTGGACCAAAATCTTGGACCCTTTCGTTGCGATATATGCTCGGACCTCGTCAAGACCTGCGATCAGTATAAGGTGCACCGATCCGCACACGATGGCACCCAACCCTTCATCTGCACTCTGTGCGGAAAGGGTTTCCAGATGCCCTGCAACCTGACGGTGCATATCAGACGGCATCGCAGGGATTTCCCATATTCCTGCGAGCAATGCGACAAGCGCTTCGCCACATCCACGGAGGTGGCTATCCACTTGCGCACCCACACCGGCGAGCGGCCCTACATCTGCGACCTCTGTGGCAAGTCATTCAAGACGTGGTCCTTCTTCGACATCCACCGGCGCCGTCACCTGAATCAGTCGACATTCCGCTGCCCGATATGTGCAAAAGGATTCTACGAGAAGAACCGCTTCACGGACCACATGAACTCCCACTGGGCGATCCGCAAGCACCTGTGCACGGTGTGCGGAAAGACCTTCACCACGTACGGCAACCTCAAAAAGCACACGGAGCTGCACTTGGCTGTGAAGAAGTACAAGTGCAGCACGTGCGGCAAGCGATTTGCACAATTTGCCAGTCTTCGATGGCACAAAAAGCGAGAGCACAGCTCGGACGGGCAAGCGGACGACAAGTAGAACCTTCAGCCACTCCAAGTTCTGCCCTGCACTTTATAATGTTTGCAAAGCAATCGTACAGCGTTAAATTTGTGTCCGTCTACCTATAGTTATTGCCGTCTAGCATATACCTATTATATCGTTAATCTAGAGCTTAGTAATGTATTTATACGCTATTTAAGATTGTCTGATAAATAGCTACAAGTGTTGCCTCTTAGGTTCTGTAAGTCTTATCGTCATAGTTAATCGATTAGCCAGCCGTTTGTGGAACGCTTGTAACTGGTTTATAATTTGAATCCCAAAGTCATCGAAAGTGAAACCAAAAATATACATGTGTATTAAATAAACATATAAGCGCAATGTATTTATTCGTAATGTTTTAATAGGCTTTATCGAGCAGAGAGTACGTTTAAGAATACCGATGGAGCTTAAACTGGTTTCCACCAGTCGGAATAAGTATTTTCCATAATAAACTGGAACGTATGGGCATACACGTATAACTCTTTGCCAAAGTCGTAAATCTGCCATCGAATCGGTATTAATTTAGATACCGCCCTCTGGCTTATTTACCCAACGTTTATTGACTCCAATTGAGCGGCTCCAGCCGCCTCGATGAAAGTGCAAGTGACAAATGAGTCGGAGGAGTCTCCCAGTGACCAGGGTTATTTCATTTTTATCGGCCCAATGCACACACTCAATTAGATTTCATTAAATTGTTGCAACAGAGCGAGTTACGAGAACGGCGGAAAACGAAAATGGAAATGAAAATTAATTGCACCCAATGACTTGTGTGCGAAACAAAAAAATCTACAGCGATATGCAGTGAACTGTAACGTGGTAATTACCCGAAGACCGGGCCGCAAACAAATCGAAACCTAATCAACTGTCGAAGGGGCGTCCGAGGGGCAAACAAAGATTAATAGGTTCGGCATCGAAGTGAGATTTATACTCGTTTAGCTCGGATCTAGTGCCCGAGTACTTGTCAAATAAGTTCCAATTATCCTGGCGGTCGCCTCTTCCTGGGCAGGTCCTTCAGCTCCAGCTGACTCTTGGGGCGGATGAGCATTTGGACGGACTTCAGGGAGCGGAAGCTGTACCACGGCTCCCAGTAGATGCTCTGCGGGTTGTCCACCTCTCCCTTGAAGTATCTGCCATTTAAATTGCTGTAAAATGAAACATAAGCGCCTATTTTAAAAATGCTAGCCGAGCCGTAGATACCCTTGCAGTATTTGCATATTATATATTTGATAAAAACTGATGTAGATACAATCCCTTTATGATCGAAAACAAGAAAATCATCATTTCTCTTCTATTATCTTCAATTAATTTTCCGACTGTTCCTATATGATTTAGCTATATGATATAGATGTTCGATCTGAACTAACTGAAATAGAAAACAGACCTTCGGGAAAGTTTCAGTTTAAAACTGAGAGACTTGATTCCTCAACAGCGGAATGAAATCAAAATACAATAAATTATTCAGGGTATAGAAAGGGTATTTCCTAATTTGTAAATATAAAATAATGCCTAAATGTCTTATACTTTCTGTCACATTTGTATGCAAAGTATCAAAGTATCATTGTTGTTTCCAAAGATAAAGATATCAATATCAATATTTAAGAATTACCCACAGGGCACTCCTTTATCACAGGCAGAACTTATTTTAGATATGATAAGTATTCAAATACTGGCAGGTTCTATCAGTAATCAAGACAATTAATTGTCATTGAGCTACCCGCAAAAAAACATTCTAAAGAACCTAGGAAGTACTTCACAAATATAGAGTATCCTTTAAATAGGAAATATGGTGTGTGTACTAATACTCCTTACCTGCGGGAACAGAAGTCGTACCACCAGGCTCCCTGATGGTGCTCCGCGCAGTTCATGTGCGTGAAGGCATCGTGGTCCCGGTCGTAGGTGGAGAACTTCATCTTGTCGTGGGTGCGCATCGCATCGCTGGCGTTTCCCTGGTAGTGGCCCAGCAGCTTCAGTTCGTAGCCCTCCTCCGCGCTCCCGATGAGGAAGTCGTCGTAGTGGGCATAGCTCGTCTCGCCGCCGAATCTGCTGATGCTGATGTAGAGCTCGTGGGGCTGGGAGCTGGTCAGGCGGTGCAGCTTCTCCAGGCCGATGAAGAACTCTCCGTTCAGCTTGCCAAAGCCCTTGCTGTAGGCATCCCAGTTCCGGTAGAAGTTCACGGATCCGTCGAGGCGCCGCTGGATGCAGGTCCAGCCAGGTCCGGCTGCAGTTTGACCTTCGCAGGGCACCAAGAACGGCAGGAATCCTGGCAGGTGGATCAGATGGATTCCGGGCGATCGTCCAAAAGGCACACAGCTAGTAGTTGCCGCCTCCCAGTCCGCCAACAGGTCGTCCTTCTTCTCCCGGAATTTCCGCTCGAAATACACAACCTTTCCCTTGAGGTGGTCGATCAGTAGAGCACTGGAGCTATTCAGCTTTCGCAGCTCCGTCAAAGCGTGCTGTTTTCTCTTGAGGCGCGTCTCGTATATCTTAACCTTTTGCTCCAGCTCCTTGATCTGGTCGTCCTTCTCCTTGATGGCAGTCGAGAACGAAGACTCCTGGGCACTGCACACCTGGGTGAGGTTCTCGAATCTCCTCAGCAGCTCATCGTCTGTTTGGTTCTTGGTTTGCAGCTTGTTTATCTCGTTTTCCTTGTCCTTAATAGTGGCGGCACTTTCGGCTATCTTTCCCATGTAAACGTCCAGCAGATCGTCCAAATCGCCCTTACTAATTCTAATGGTTTTGTGCTGATCGATGTGAACTTCCGCTAGTTTTTCTGGAACTGGAGTCACTGTCACATTTGCCATTTGTGTTCCATTAGTGGGTGGAATCTCCTTCACGGGAGCTTTGGTAGTGGGCTTGGTTTTCGAAGCGACATGAAGGAACCAGGCTGACGGCAGCATAATGATCAGTATAATTAAATGACACTCCATTCCGGCTGGATTTGCCGTGCCGTGCTTAGTGAAATCAAAGTTAAACTGAAATGGCAAGCGAAATGCATTTCCCAAGTTGAGCGCAAATCAGGAAATAATAGCCAATGCCAAGCTGACTGCAGATAAGAGTTTCTGAACTTGGAGCGTGATCGTGAACTTGATGGAGTAAACATTTCGAACTGCTGGCCTTTTTATTTCTGCTCTGCGATAAAAAGACAATATTTTATTTGAAAGGATGCGTTGAAAGATAAATTACTTTTGGGCAGCTCAGTACAAGATGATGATTTTGATGTGGGTTTTACATGTTTAAGATCGGTATTACAAAGAGAAAAATAATGCGGAAGGTAATTTAATACAGTATATTAATGCATTTTCAAACGATCCTTTGATGTTATGTGGTAGTATTTATCAAAGCTAATTTGTTATCAATAGTTCTTGTGACTAACAATCATTACGTTAGTTTCCTATTTGAATTCCGCGCTCTTCGCAGCAGCAAGTTGGCAGTCCGGTAGTTCCGCTTTTTGGGCTGGCAACGCCGTTGCGGTTCAACCAGACATTCAAGTATACAGAATTTTTCTAAAAGAAAGTTGATTGTGAACCGAGCTCTCAAACGAATAAGAACGCTGTGCAGTGAATGGAGTTAAAGCCCAAAAATTAAGTGAAATAAATGCTGAAAGTGAAGAAATAACTAGTGCTAACCAACAGCAAAGATTCAGTGAATATAAGCCAATCAAGAAAGCAACTTAAAGCCAGACTTTTTCGGTGCTTTTGCATCCTTAATAACTACGCCAGCAAATCGCTGTGAAAATCGCTAAATATACACAGAAATCAACAGGAAAACTGTTTTCCAAGTTAAAAAATGTGTTGCCCACGCGGAAACCAAGAAAAGTCCACCGTTTTCAACGTGGAAAGCGGAGTGCCCGGAGTTGGAACAAAGAAAGACATCCAAAGTGGGGCTCCACGGGGCAGAAAAAAACTCGAAGCGCAGCTGCAGCAACTTTTCTCTACATACATACAGATGTATACCTCCACATACATATATGTTCGTGAATAGTGTGCATCGGGTGTACAAAGAAAACGGGTCTTTGTTCTGTCCACGAATCGATGGCCATGCAACAACTACAACCTCATGAAGGGTGTGTATTCTTAGCTCCCTTTCGCTTCCCCTTCCCCTCCGATTCCTTCTCTTATCTGCTGTTTGTCGTTTGCCTGCTTGTTCGTGTTTGCCCAAGGAGTCGATATGTAAACAATGCTCTTACCTTTCAGATACGTTGAATGGTGCTGTCGAGTCCAACCTCATGAGAATGACTCCAAATGGAAATACATAATGGGTATGTACATACATATGGCCTGGAAATGGGTCATTCTCAACTCATACATCACCTTGTTAATATATTAAGATGTGTATATGAATACAGTGCACTAAGTCAGCAGGTATTTCAGTTTTTTTGTTAATATCTAAATATCATTGCATGTTTATTGTTAACTGGCCCATAGGGAATACATTATAATAGGGAGGTGCAATAGAAAGTTTCTTTTAATTAATTAAAGCTTTCCTGATACTTGCATAGTGCTTCAATATACATATGTATAAAAAACTTCTGAATATTAAAAAGTTTGACTTGTTTGGTACCCACACCTTTCAAGTTGACTGCAACCAGGTCTTCAGATTGACACAAGAATGATGTGATATTGCACAAGTAGATGAAAAGAAACCAATTCGTCCGTTAGTAAATTATGGAAACGGAAAACTAATATTTGTTGTATCTTGATTGTGTAATATATATACTATATATATATATATATATATATACTATACTATATACTATGTATATTTGAATAGTGAATATAATAATATAATATATGTGTCCTATATATACTAGGAGAAATATATATAGGATAGATAGATACATACATATATATACAGTTATATAGTTATTATATATATAGTTTAGTTATACAGGTATTATATATATAGTCTAGTTATATCGTTATATAAATAGAGTTATTGACCAACATTATAAATTGTATCTTCCCTTTAGTTTGAATACTTCAAACCGAGCCACACACTCCCGATTGAACATGCCGATGAGAGCCAATGATGGACGATCGAAGATTCGTGCTCTGGGCCGGCAGGATTTGGTATTTATGACTACTATTGTACTTGCTACCAAGCTAACGACCCACCTACTCCACAATCAACCTCAACATTACTAAGTATATCCCAGGCAGTGTAAAAGCGTATCATGCTACCAACCATATTGTCTATATCCTATGAACATACATATGCATATCGTTAGATCGTAAGTGTCTTTGCAGGCCCACCAACAATCCAATCCAAACCAAACTACAACAATCATCGCCGCTAATTAAATATTTCTTTTTATATGCCATTTATATACCATGTCAAACCATAAACCCATACCCTGCCCAGCGTTCCATGACTTATGAAGCGTTCGTCTTTCAGTGTCCAAGTACCAAACCGCCTACGCCTGCGAAGGTAAGAAACTGACCATCGAGTGCGAGCCCGGCGATGTGATCAACCTTATAAGGGCCAACTATGGCCGCTTCTCGATTACCATCTGCAACGACCACGGGAATGTGGAGTGGAGTGTCAATTGTATGTTTCCCAAGTCCCTCAGCGTACTGAACTCAAGGTAATACTTCTTTCAAAGTAAATTTTAGAACTTTTACTTTGCGAAATGTATATAATTTTGTATATGAAAATGAGCCAACTGTATTTACTGATGAACCCGCATTTTTCCCATATTGCAGGTGTGCCCACAAGCAGAGCTGCGGTGTGCTGGCAGCCACGAGCATGTTCGGGGATCCCTGTCCCGGGACCCACAAGTATCTGGAGGCGCACTACCAGTGCATTAGTGCTGCCCAAACGTCGACGACGACCAACAGACCCAGTCCGCCGCCATGGGTGTTGAGCAATGGTCCGCCGATCTTTGGCAACGGCAGCGGACTGATCCATCCGCCAGGGATTGGAGCGGGTGCGCCACCTCCGCCACGACTTCCCACACTGCCTGGAGTGGTGGGAATCAGTGGGAATCCCGGCCTGTTCAACGTACCACCGCAACACACCGCCGTCACGCACTCCACGCCTTCGAGCAGCACGACAGCAATGGCCGGTGGGCGTTTGAAGGGTGTGGCCACCTCTACGACGACTACCAAGCATCCGGCTGGTCGCCATGATGGTCTGCCACCGCCACCGCAACTGCACCACCACCACAACCACCACGGTGAAGACACTGCCTCACCCACCAAGCCGAGCAGCAAGCTGCCGGCTGGCGGAAATGCCACATCACCATCCAACACGAGGATACTCACGGGCGTAGGAGGATCCGGAACTGATGACGGAACCCTGCTGACCACAAAGAGCTCACCCAACCGCACGCCGGGCACAGCGGCCAGTGGATCCGTTGTCCCCGGGAATGGTAGCGTCGTGCGCACTATCAACAACATTAATTTGAACTCAGCCGGGATGTCCGGAGGCGATGATGAGTCCAAGTTGTTTTGCGGCCCCACTCATGCCCGGAATTTGTACTGGAACATGACTCGAGTGGGTGATGTTAACGTTCAGCCGTGTCCTGGCGGAGCGGCCGGCATCGCCAAGTGGCGTTGCGTGCTTATGAAGCGGATGCCGGACTCCGGCTATGATGAGTACGATGACGACCCCAGCTCCACAACTCCAGCTACCAGCAGCGCCGACTGTTTGCATAACAGCAGCAGCTGCGAGCCGCCGGTGAGCATGGCCCACAAGGTAAACCAGCGTCTGCGCAACTTTGAGCCCACCTGGCATCCCACGACACCGGATCTAACGCAATGCCGCAGCCTTTGGCTCAATAATCTGGAAATGCGGGTCAACCAGCGGGACTCTTCCCTGATCTCCATTGCCAACGACATGTCCGAAGTGACCAGTAGCAAAACGCTCTACGGCGGAGACATGTTGGTCACTACGAAGATAATCCAAACTGTGTCCGAGAAGATGCTGCACGACAAGGAGACCTTCCCGGATCAGCGACAGCGAGAGGCTATGATCATGGAATTGTTGCATTGTGTAGTCAAAACTGGTTCCAACCTACTGGACGAATCGCAGCTGTCCTCGTGGTTGGACCTCAATCCGGAGGACCAAATGCGTGTAGCCACCTCCTTGCTAACTGGCCTGGAATACAATGCCTTTCTGCTGGCGGATACGATTATCAGGGAGCGCAGCGTGGTGCAAAAGGTCAAAAATATATGTGAGTTCTAAATGGTTATTGCTTGTTTCAAAATACTTATGATGACTTTATATCACAGTGCTGTCTGTACGAGTGCTGGAAACCAAGACCATCCAGTCAAGCGTGGTCTTCCCAGATTCGGATCAGTGGCCCTTGAGTTCGGATCGCATAGAGCTGCCCCGGGCTGCTCTTATAGACAATAGTGAAGGAGGCCTGGTGCGAATTGTATTCGCCGCCTTCGATCGCCTGGAGTCCATTCTCAAGCCCAGTTATGATCATTTCGATCTTAAGAGCTCCCGCAGTTACGGTAAGTCTACAGAGAACTGAATAATATTAAATTATAATAATCTAAATGTTGTCTTAGTTCGCAATACAGCCATCCTGAGCAACGACAGCGATGTCAACGCGGGGGAAATCCAGCAGCGCCTACGTATCCTGAACAGCAAGGTGATCTCGGCCAGCTTGGGCAAGGGGCGTCACATACAACTCTCCCAGCCCATTACCCTAACCCTGAAGCATCTGAAGACCGAAAATGTGACGAATCCCACCTGCGTGTTCTGGAACTATATTGACCAGTAAGGCTTTAGCTCATATGCTGAAGGATTTATACGAAATAATGTTTTTTTTCTAGTGCATGGTCTGCCAACGGATGCAGCCTGGAGTCCACAAACCGCACGCACAGCGTCTGCAGTTGCAACCACCTGACCAACTTTGCCATACTAATGGACGTTGTGGATGAGCACCAGCACTCGTTGTTCACCATGTTCGATGGAAATATGCGCATATTCATCTACATAAGCATCGGCATCTGCGTG